CATAAAAAAAGCCAGACTACGGTTTGCAACTGCACATGGGGACAAAGATCATACTTTTTGGAGAAATGTCCTCTGGTCTGATGAAACAAAAATAGAACAGTTTGGCCATAATGACCATCGTTATGTTTGGAGGAAAAAGGGGGTTGCTTGCAAGCTGAAGAACACCATCCCAACCGTGAAGCATGGGGGTGGCAGCATCATGCTGTGGGGGTGCTTTGCTGCAGGAGGGACTGGTACACTTCACAAAACAGATGGCATCATGAGGAAGGACAATTATATGGATATATTGAAGCAACATTTCAAGACATCAGTCAGGAAGTTAAAGCTTGGTCGCAAATGGGTCTTCCAAATGGACAATGACCCCAAGCATACTTCCAAAGTTATGGCAAAATGGCTTAAGGACAACAAAGACAAGGTATTGGAGTGGCCATCACAAAGCCCTGACCTCAATCCTATAGAAAATGTGTGGGCAGAACTGAAAAAGCATGTGCGAGCAAGGAGGCCTACAAACCTGACTCAGTTACACCATCTCTGTCAGGGCGAATGGGCCATAATTCGCCCAACTTATTGTGGGAAGCTTGTGGAAGGCTACCCGAAACGTTTGACCCAAATTAAACAATTTAAAGGCAATGCTACCAAATACTAATTGAGTGTATGTAAACTTCTGACCCACTGGGAATGTGATGAAATAAATAAAAGCTGAAATAATCATTCTCTCTACTATTATTCTAACATTTCACATTCTTAAAATAAAGTGGTGATCCTAACTGACCTAAGACAGGGAATATTTACTAGGATTAAATGTCAGGAATTGTGAAAAACTGAGTTTAAATGTATTTGGCTAAGGTGTATGTAAACTTCCGACTTCAACTGTATACACTGCATTCTATTCTATAATATTCTACTGTATTTTAGTCCATGCTAATCTGTCATTGCTTGTCCATATACAGTGGGGAGAACAAGTATTTGATACACTGCCGATTTTGCAGGTTTTCCTACTTACAAAGCATGTAGAGGTCTGTAATTCTTATCATAGGTACACTTCAACTGTGAGAGACGGAATCTAAAACAAAAATCCAGAAAATCACATTGTATGATTTTATGTAATTAATTTGCATTTTATTGCATGACAAGTATTTGATCATCTACCAACCAGTAAGAATTCTGGCTCTCACAGACCTGTTAGTTTTTCTTTAAGAAGCCCTCCTGTTCTCCACTCATTACCTGTATTAACTGCACCTGTTTGAACTCGTTACCTGTATAAAAGACACCTGTCCACACACTCAATCAAACAGACTCCAACCTCTCCACAATGGCCAAGACCAGAGAGCTGTGTAAGGACATCAGGGATACAATTGCAGACCTGCACAAGGCTGGGATGGGCTACAGGACAATAGGCAAGCAGCTTGGTGAGAAGGCAACAACTGTTGGCGCAATTATTAGAAAATGGAAGAAGTTCAAGATGACGGTCAATCACCCTCGGTCTGGGGCTCCATGCAAGATCTCACCTCGTGGGGCATCAATGATCATGAGGAAGGTGAGGGATCAGCCCAGAACTACACGGCAGGATCTGGTCAATGACCTGAAGAGAGCTGGGACCACAGTCTCAAAGAAAACCATTAGTAACACACTACGCCGTCATGGATTAAAATCCTGCAGCGCACGCAAGGTCCCCCCTCAAGCCAGCGCATGTCCAGGCCCGTCTGAAGTTTGCCAATGACCATCTGGATGATCCAGAGGAGGAATGGGAGAAGGTCATGTGGTCTGATGAGACAAAAATAGAGCTTTTTGGTCTAAACTCCACTCGCCGTGTTTGGAGGAAGAAGAAGGATGAGTACAACCCCAAGAACACCATCCCAACCGTGAAGCATGGAGGTGGAAACATCATTCTTTGGGGATGCTTTTCTGCAAAGGGGACAGGACGACTGCACCATATTGAGGGGAGGATAGATGGGGCCATGTATCGCGAGATCTTGGCCAATAACCTCCTTCCCTCAGTAAGAGCATTGAAGATGGGTCGTGGCTGGGTCTTCCAGCATGACAATGACCCGAAACACACAGCCAGGGCAACTAAGGAGTGGCTCCGTAAGAAGCATCTCAAGGTCCTGGAGTGGCCTAGCCAGTCTCCAGACCTGAACCCAATAGAAAATCTTTGGAGGGAGCTGAAAGTCTGTATTGCCCAGCGACAGCCCTGAAACCTGAAGGATCTGGAGAAGGTCTGTATGGAGGAGTGGGCCAAAATCCCTGCTACAGTGTGTGCAAACCTGGTCAAAACCTACAGGAAACGTATGATCTCTGTAATCGCAAACAAAGGTTTCTGTACCAAATACTAAGTTCTGCTTTTCTGATGTATCAAATACTTATGTCATGCAATAAAATGCAAATTAATTACTTAAAAATCATACAATGTGATTTTCTGGATTTTTGTTTTAGATTCCGTCTCTCACAGTTGAAGTGTACCTATGATAAAAATTACAGATCTCTACATGCTTTGTAAGTAGGAAAACTTGCAAAATTGGCAGTGTATCAAATACTTGTTCTCCCCACTGTATGTATATTTTCTTAAATTCCAGTTTTGTGTGTATTAGATATATGTTGTAAAATTGTTAGATATTACTTGTTAGATATTACTACACTGTCGGAGCTAGAAGCACAAGCATTTCGCTACACCCGCTATAACATCTGCTAGACACGTGTATGTGACAAATAAAATGTGATTTGATTTGGAGATGAGGGCAGGGCTCTGTGCAGGCCAGTCAAGTTCTTCCACACCAATCTCAACAATCCATTTCTGTATGGACCTCGCTTTGAGCACAGGGGCATTGTCATGCTGAAACAGGAAAGGGCCTTCCCTGAACTGTTGCCACAAAGTTGGAAGCACAGAATCATCTACAATGTCATTGTCTGCTGTATAGTTTAGATTTCCCTTCACTAGAACTAAGGGGCCTAGCCGGAACCATGAAAACAGCCACGGACCATTATTCCTCCACCACCAAACTTTACAGTTGGCACTATGTATTCGGCCAAGTAGTGTGCTCCTGGCCCAAACCCAGATTTGGCCGTTGGACTGCCAGATTGTGAAGCGTGATTCATCACTCCAGAGAATGCGTTTCCACTGCTTCAGAGTTTTTAGGCGCTATGCGCTTCAGCACTCTGTGGTCCGGTTCTGTGAGCTTGTGTGGCCTACCACTTAGCGGCTGAGCCGTTGTTGCTCCTAGACGTTTCCACTTCACAATAACAGCACTTGACCAGGGCAGCTCTAGCAGGCCAGAACTTCAACAAACTGACTTGTTAGAAAGATGGCATCCTATGACGGTGCCACGTTGAAAGTCACTGAGCCTTTCATTACTGGCCATTCTACTGCCAATGTTTGTCTATGGAGATTGCATGGCTGTATACACCTGTCAGCAACAGGTGTGGCTAAAATAGCCGAATCTACTAATTTGAAGGGGTGTCCACATACTTTTGACCATGTAGTATACCTCTATCACTCCAGTATCCCCGCACATTGTACACTGAACAAAAATATGAAGGTAACATGTAAAGTGTTGGTCCCACATTTCATTAGCTAAAATAAAAAATAACAGAAATATTCCATACGCACAAAAAGCTTATTTCTCTCAAATTTTGTGCACAAATTTGTTTACATTCCTGTTAATGAGAATTTCTCCTTTGCCAAGGTAATCCATCCACCTGACAGGTGTGGCATATCAAGAACCTGATTAAACAGTATGATCATTACACTGGTGCACTTTGTGCTGGGAACAATAAAAGGCCACTTTAAAATGTGCAATTTTGTCACACAACACAATGTTTTGAAGGAGCGTGCAATTGGCATGCTGACTGTAGGAATGTCCACCAGAGCTGTTGCCAGAGAATTGAAAGTTCATTTCTCTACCATAAGCTGCCTCCAACATTGTTTTAGAGATGGGTCGGCCTGGCTCCCAAGTGGGTGGGCCTATTTCCTTAAATGAACTGTAAATCAGTAAAATTGTTGCATGTTGCGTTTATAATTTTCAGTATAAATATGGTATTGGAACTGACCCTGTGTAGGCCTATATATAGCTTCTTACTTTCTCGTGTTTTTATTTTTATTTTTAGTGTATTTTTGTTCTACCTTGTTATTTCTTAGTACTACATTGATATTGATCACGGCATTCTTCGGTTTAGAGCTTGCAGGAAAGGGCATTTCACTGTACTTGTGCACGTGACATTAAAACGTGAAACTAGGCCTACAAAAACTACAGTCAACCTCATCTGTATTTATTAGCCTAAATAATACACACTGTGAATGAATGAAAAGCATTTTGCCATCAAATTATACACAACACGCTTCCAAGACACTTTGGCCCACTTGGAACACTGCACACAGCAGCAGTGACAACCACTTGCTCTCTCTATCCTCCCTTCATGTTGTCAGCACATAGCTGAACACCAAATGGCATGCCTTTAAAAGAAAAACCCAACTCAATTTTATCCAGCTCCTAGCCGGGAGGTTGACTCAGTGACTCCTTAAAAACCATTAGCCAATCGATTACTGTTCATGAAAGTCAAATTGCTGTGACCTGCAATCCTCTGCCATTTGTCTAGTCGAGCAGAAGGCCTTTTCTGAATGTTATTAGGTATGCAGTAGTCATCATTCTATTAGAAATCGGTTAGGGCCTTGACGTTGTTTTTGTTTCAACAGCGTTATTATTGGTCAAAGTGTAAATCTATGTCATCTGATCTGAATGAAATTACATTGCTATTGTTTTTATTTTTATGACATTGGAATGTGAGGTTTTGCAACAATATCATATTTCTTTGGTCCAACCTTTGTTTCTTCTTTTAGGGCTTACACGGTGGTTTCACATTCTGCACTGATTTGAAGACCATAAAAGCACATGAAACACAGTCAGCATGATTACAATGGAAAGCAGGGTCATGACTCATGGTTGTGATGATTGATCGCCCTATCTTTCTGTCAAGTGCGAGGATGCCGTCCAGGGAAGATAGTCCAGATGACGGAGGCGGAGGTGCGGGGGTTGTGCATCAAGTCCCGGGAGATCTTCCTCAGCCAGCCCATCCTACTGGAGCTGGAGGCTCCGCTCAAAATATGTGGTCAGTACGATAAATTCTCCCGCTTGCTCTATCCTTACTCCGGGGCCCTCTCTCTCTCTCGCTCTCTCTCCCTTAGAGCACAAATACCATATGAGAAATGTATGAGTCATACCAGGGTTAGAAAAATATAAAAAGCTGGCTGAATAAAGACATAGGCCTAATGTTTGTGATTTTACATGGCCATGAAAACGGCATCCAGAAGCCTACCCAAATCAAATTTGATTTGTCATGTGCCGAATACAGCAGGTGTAGACTTCACCGTGAAATGCTTACTTACGAGCTCTTTCCCAACGATGCAGAGTTAAAAATAAGGAAATGAAAACATAGGGAATAAAATACACTAAGGAAGCTATATACAGGGACTCATACCTTTCCTCATAGAAATCTGTAGGCAGATAAAACTACAGATACCTATACATTCACTGGTGTCCTGGCACTATCCATACCATTCTGTTCATTCGTATTTTTATGGTCCTGGCACTATCCTCACCACACACAGTGTTGTCTTTAAGCCAAAATGTCAGAGAGAAAGGAGAGGATAGGGTAACACATTGGAGAGACATAGACCTAGCTCAGTAAGTAGAGCAGGAGGATATAAATGCTGTCTCCCTCGAGTGTCTGCGGCTCTGCAGGATGGGGCCATCTCCTTCCATCAAGGACACAATCTGGCTCAAGTCCACTCACTCTCTTCTCCACTCCTTCCAGGTGTCCAGGGCTCACTTTAAAAAAGAAAGACACTGTCAATCTCAATGTGACTTCCCTGGTTAAATAAAGGGTACATCAAATAATGGTAGTCTCACAACCCCTCTGCTCTCTCTCTCTCTAGGGGATATCCATGGCCAGTACACAGACCTGCTGCGGCTCTTTGAGTACGGGGGCTTCCCGCCGGAGGCTAACTACCTGTTCCTGGGGGACTACGTGGACCGAGGCAAGCAGTCCTTGGAAACCATCTGCCTACTGCTGGCCTACAAGATCAAATACCCTGAGAACTTCTTCCTGCTCAGAGGAAACCACGAATGTGCCTCCATCAACCGCATCTACGGTTTCTATGACGAGTGTAAGACGCGGAAGCAGTGTCACACACACACAATCTGAATCAGTTATGTTTTTCAGTGAGGATGGAGGATCCATAATGGTAATGCTTTTGGGATCTCTACTATCAGCAGAATTCCATGTCCTTTCTATGTTGTGTTCCCCAGGCAAACGCAGATTCAACATAAAGCTGTGGAAGACCTTCACAGATTGCTTCAACTGTCTGCCCATTGCCGCTATAATCGATGAGAAGATCTTCTGCTGCCATGGAGGTATGCATGGGGGCTTATCTATCAATTCAATCTATTATTATTATTATTATTGAATATTATTAATTAACAATCATCCCTTTTCCTCAGGTCTCTCTCCTGATCTGCAGTCCATGGAGCAAATCCGACGCATCATGAGGCCCACTGATGTCCCTGACACAGGTGTGTTAACGTGTGTGTGGGGGGGGGCGGGGTTTACATGTTCTGTGATGTATTTGTGACTGGCTCTGACTGTGCTGACTGTGCTAGGCCTGCTGTGTGACCTGCTGTGGTCAGATCCAGACAAAGACGTGCAGGGCTGGGGGGAAAACGACCGGGGCGTCTCCTTCACCTTCGGGGCCGACGTGGTCAGCAAGTTCCTCAACCGCCATGACCTGGACCTCATCTGCAGAGCCCACCAGGTAGAGCCTTCATACTGACCTAATGTAGGAGATGCTGAGTAGGGCTGTGACGATACCGGTGTCCCAACACAAAGCAGACCAAAGTCTTTGGTCCTTTAAAAACCTGCTGTATGTAAAACATTGTGTGCTGAAACTTGGAAAATAAATAAATGTGACTCTGGATGATAGGGGCTGCACGATTAATCAAATTCAAATCGAAATCGCGATATTGACGTGCAATATCCATATCGCAAGAGGCTGCGATTTTCTATTTTCTTTCAAACTTCGCTAATACAATGAAAACTAGATTACGGTATCTCCTCCAATGAGATGCGCTAGATTCCGTTCATTCACTCTCTACATGTACAGAGGATGCTGACCAATCACAAGCGGACTCTCTCACTCTGCATGGCATGCACATGCGGGCCAATCACAAGTGTGCGTCCCTGCATAGAGCGCGCAGTTAGATGCTGGTGAGAAGAGAAAGGGCTTCACCAAAGACAGGACAGTAGGTTGTTTAGAAACTCTGTTGCTTCACCTCAGTGTGTCGGAAATATGAGTACTGCTAGTGCTAATGAGAACGTTGATTTGGTGCCAAAGAAGGGCTCATCATCAGTGATATGGCAAACCAATGTCAACCAAATGCAAGTGTGCAAAAAGTGCCTCAGAGTCGTGGCGACAACAAGAGGCAACACGACAAATGCAGTTCATATAAGGAAATCAGTCAATTTGAATAAATTCATTGGGCCCTAATCTATGGATTTCACATGACTGGGCAGGGGTGCAGATCCATGCCCTCCCAGGACCGCCCCTGGGGAGCCAGGCCCAGCCAATCAGAATGAGTGTTTCACCACAAAAGGGCTTCATTACAGACAGAGGCCGGTTGGACGTACTGCCAAATTTTGTAAAACGACGTTGGAGGTGGCTTATGGTAGAGAAATGAACATGCAATTCTCTGGCAACAGCTTTGGTGGACATTCCTGCAGTCAGCATGCCAATTGCATGCTCCCTCAAAACTTGAGACATCTGTGTCATTGTGCTGTGTGACAAAACTGCACATTTGAGTGGCCTTTTATTGTCCCCAGCACAACGTGCATCTGTGTAATGATCATGCTGTTTTAATCAGCTTCTTGATATGCCACACCTGTCAGGTGGATGGATTATCTTGACAAAGGATAAAATGCTCACTAACAAGAATGTAAAAAAATTTGTGCACAATTTGAATACATTTAAGATTTTTGTGCGTATGGAACATTTCTGGGATGGAACATTTCTGGGATCTTTTATTTCAGCTCATGAAACATGGGACCAGCACTTTACATGTTGCGTTTATATTTTTGTTCAGTTTACATAATTACACAATCATAAGCTTCCTATTCCATCTGCAGCCTATGGCTGCCTGAATAAATAATTCACTTAGGTTATTTCATTACTCATAATGGTAAAATACACTATATATACAAAAGTATGTGGACACCCCTTCAAATTAGTGGATTCGGCTATTTCAACCACACCCGTTGCTGACAGGTGTATAAAATCGAGCACACCGCCATGGAATCTCCATAGACAAACATTGGCAGTAGAATGGCCTTACTGAAGAGCTCAGTGGCTTTCAACGTGGCACCGTCATAGGATGCCACCTTTCTAACAAGTCAGTTCGTCAAATTTCTGCAACGCTAGATCTGCCCCGGTCAACTGTAAGAGCTGTTATTGTGAAGTGGAAACGTCTAGGAGCGACAACGGCTCAGCCGCGAAATGGTAGGCCCCACAAGTTCACAGAGTGGGACCGCCGAGTGCTGAAGCGCGTAGTGCGTAAAAATTGTATGTCCTCTGTTGCAACACTCACTACCGAGTTCCAACTACCTCTGGAAGCAACGTCAGCACAAGAACTGTTCGTCGAGAGCTTCATGAAATGGGTTTCCATGGCCGAGCAGCCGCACACAAACCTAAGATCACCATGTGCAATGTCCAGCGTCGGCTGGAGTGGTGTAAAGCTTGCCGCCAATGGACTCTGGAGCAGTGGAAACGCGTTCTCAAGTAATGAATCACGCTTCACCATCTGCCAGTCCGATGGACGAATCTGGGTACGTCTGGAGAATGCTACCTGCTCTAATGCATAGTGCCAACTGTAAAGTTTGGTGCAGGAGGAATAATGGTCTGGGGCTGTTTTTCATGGTTCGGGCTAGGCCCCTTAGTTCCAGTGAAGGGAAATCTTAACGCTACAGCATACAATTACATTCTAGACGATTCTGTGCTTCCAACTTTGTTGCAACTGTTTGGGGAAGGCCCTTTCCTGTTTCAGCATGACAATTCCCCCGTGCTCAAAGCGAGGTCCATACAGAAATGGTTTGTTGAGATCGGTGTGGAAGAACTTGACTGGCCTGCAGAGAGCCCTGCCCGCAACCCCATCGAACACCTTTGGGATTAATAGGAACGCCGACTGCGAGCCAGGCCTAATTTTCCAACATCAGTGCCCGACTTCACTAATGCTCTTGTGGCTGAATGGAAGCAAGTCCCCGCAGCAATGTTCCAACATCTAGTGAAAAACCTTCCCAGAAGAGTGGAGGCTGTTATAGCAGTAAAGGGTGGACCAACTCCATATTAATGCCCATGATTTTGGAATGAGATGTTATACGAGCAGGTGTCCACATACTTTTGATAATGTAGTGTAGGAAATAGGAGCTCAATGTTAGTCATTAATTAATGAATAAGTGCTGCACTTATAGCACACTATATTTAAATCATGTTAAAAATGTGTTTGTTAATATACACTGCTCAAAAAAATAAAGGGAACACTTAAACAACACATCCTAGATCTGAATGAATGAAATAATCTTATTAAATACTTTTTTCTTTACATAGTTGAATGTGCTGACAACAAAATCACACAAAAATGATCAATGGAAATCAAATTTATCAACCCAAGGAGGTCTGGATTTGGAGTCACCCTCAAAATGAAAGTGGAAAACCACACTACAGGCTGATCCAACTTTGATGTAATGTCCTTAAAACAAGTCAAAATGAGGCTCAGTAGTGTGTGTGGCCTCCACGTGCCTGTATGACCTCCCTAAAACGCCTGGGCATGCTCCTGATGAGGTGGCGGATGGTCTCCTGAGGGATCTCCTCCCAGACCTGGACTAAAGCATGGAACGAGACATGATGTCCCAGATGTGCTCAATTGGATTCAGGTCTGGGGAACGGGCGGGCCAGTCCATAGCATCAATGCCTTCCTCTTGCAGGAACTGCTGACACACTCCAGCCACATGAGGTCTAGCATTGTCTTGTATTAGGAGGAACCCAGGGCCAACCGCACCAGCATATGGTCTCACAAGGGGTCTGAGGATCTCATCTCGGTACCTAATGGCAGTCAGGCTACCTCTGGCGAGCACATGGAGGGCTGTGCGGCCCCCCAAAGAAATGCCACCCCACACCATGACTGACCCACCGCCAAACCGGTCATGCTGGAGGATGTTGCAGGCAGCAGAACGTTCTCCAGGGCGTCTCCAGACTCTGTCACGTCTGTCACGTGCTCAGTGTGAACCTGCTTTCATCTGTGAAGAGCACAGGGCGCCAGTGGCGAATTTGCCAATCTTGGTGTTCTCTGGCAAATGCCAAACGTCCTGCAACCCCCACTGTGGACGTCGGGCCTCATACCACCCTCATGACCGTTTGAGCAGACACATGCACATTTGTGGACATGCTGGAGGTCATTTTGCAGGGCTCTGGCAGTGCTCTCCTACTCCTTCCTTGCACAAGCAGGAGGTAGGCGGTCCTTCTCTGGGGTTGTTGCCCTCCTACGGCCTCCCCCACGTCTCCTGATGTACTGGCCTGTCTCCTGGTAGCGCCTCCATGCTCTGGACACTACGCTGACGGACACAGCAAACCTTCTTTGCCACAGGATCGCATTGATGTGGCCATCCTGGATGAGCTGCACTACCTGAGGCCACTTTTGTGTGGGTTGGTAGACTCCGTCTTCATGCTACCACTAGAGTGAAAGCACCGCCAGCATTCAAAAGTTGACCCAAACATCAGCAGGAAGCATAGGAACTGAGAAGTGGTCTGTGGTCACCACCTGCAGAACCACTTCTTTATTGGGGGTGTCTTGCTAATTGCCTATAATTTCCACCTGTTGTCTATTCCATTTGCACAACAGCATGTGACATTTATTGTCAATCAGTGTTGCTTCCTAAGTGGACAGTTTGATTTCACAGAAGTGTGATTGACTTGGAGTTACATTGTGTTGTTTAAGTGTTCCCTTAATTTTTTTGAGCAGTGTATATGTAGCTCAGTTGGTAGAGCATGGCGCTTGCAACGCCAGGGTTGTGGGTTCGATTCCCACGGGGGTCCAGTATGAAAAATGTATGCACTCACTAACTGTAAGTTGCTCTGGATAAGAGCGTCTGCTAAATGACTAAAATGTAAATGTAATAATCCTATCTATTATCATATGTAGCCTATAACAATGTTGGACAATATTTGTTTCATTTGGTTTTGTTTTCAGTTAGCACAGAATGTATTCATATGATATCAATTTAGAAGTTATGGTTAAAACAAGTGTCAGGGTAGAGAACATGTCTGATGAAATTAGCAAGTTTTCACCCAAGGGCTTGAAAATCGCAATTCATAATCACAATTGCAATATCTCGCCAAGAAATCGCAATTAGATATTTTGTTCATATCGTGTAGCCCTACTGGATGACACAAATGTTTTGTTTTGTTTCAACATTAGGGCTGTTTTCCTGAAGAAGTTAAATCCGCTTTGTGTTTTGTTTACTTGCCATGATACCAACGAGTATCGCGATACTGTTATCGTCCAGGCCCTAATACTGAGGGCTACGATGTTCATCAGGATGCACGAGATACTGAGGGCTATGTTCATTAGGATGCATGAGATACTGAGGGCTATGATGTTCAGTAGGATGCATGAGATATTGAGGGCTATGATGTTCAGTAGGATGCATGACATACTGAGGGCTATGATGTTCAGTAGGATGCATGAGATACTGAGGGCTATGTTCATTAAGATACATGAGATACTGAGGGCTATGTTCATTAGGATGAAACTCTAAAGGATGTTCATTAACTCAAAAGTGTTGTTCTGTACCTGAAGGTTGTTGAGGATGGCTACGAGTTCTTTGCCAAACGGCAGCTGGTGACGCTGTTCTCGGCTCCCAACTACTGCGGGGAGTTTGACAACGCTGGGGGCATGATGAGCGTGGACGAGTCCCTCATGTGTTCCTTTCAGGTGAGAACAAACACACAAACTGTGGATGAGTCTCCTAGTGCTGTTAACACACTAGGGATTAATACTTTCTCTCTCTCTCAGATTTTGAAGCCGTCAGAGAAAAAAGCTAAGTACCAGTATGGGGGGGTGAACACAGGACGCCCTGTAACCCCGCCTCGTACTGCCCAAGCCCCAAAGAAGAGGTGAGCGCCTGGCCCCCTGTCTCGCCTCCTTGCACCCTTTCCTCTGTTGCCCCCTGCAACGTCCTGTCCCATCCCTCCCATCTATGGGAAGCGCTCTAGCCCCCCCTGACCTCCACTCACCTATTTCATGTGTAAAATATTAAATCTTTGCTGTGAACAATGTTTTTTTTCTTTGCTTGTTTGTTGGTATTTTTTATTAATAATGTAAGTGACTTGTGGTTTTTCAATGCTATGAAATGGGTTGCTAAGGTGCAGCAATATGATACACATTTTGTGGAAAAGGGCAACGCATTTAGAAAGGAGGCTTTTCTTCCTTCAGATATTGAAAAAGTATTGAATTTGATTTGTGTGTGTATGTGTGCAAGTGAGTGAGGTGGGTTATTTACCCCAGCTAACAACGTTGACTCTTCAAGACAAATAACGTAAGAGATATCCTCCCCACCCAGTCTCACAATTTACCCTGCTAATGCGTAACCTTCTCACAATATTACTAATAACATGGCCGTTTTCCTCCTACGGTTTGGCTACAGTAACTGAGTGGAATGGTTTTGCCTCCTAGTGAGTTTGGAGAAAGTCATTTTTACCCCGTTGGACTCTAAAACGTTTTCCCTTAATTGAGACACTAATGAAGTATTAACAACAATTACGTTGAAAGTACTTGTACAAATGCATATTATCAGAACCATACAAAATGACAGTATATACACACGGGGCATGCATTGTATACACACATTCTGTACATATTAACTGTGTATACATGTTAACAGTTAACTACTAGTACAGTTAAGGTTCTGTGTCCTAACTCAAAGGGTTCGCAACAAATGGATGTTCCAAATGCCTGTTGGTTTTGAATCAAGCTTGTCCACCACCACACCAGCCCTCTCCTCTTATCCCTTAATCCACCGAACCTGCTTCCATTGCTGAAGACTGTTTATGGACATCTCTTTAACTGTGTGCCTGTGAGAATGCATAGATTGTGGTGGCTTAGGACATTAAGGCCAGAGTCAAAGGCACCTGATTTCTATTGGTGTTCAGTATTATTTTTCTAATTCACACGACCAGTTGGCCCCACTAGACGATTACAATAGTTGTTTTTAACTTTACACAAGCTGTTTTCAGCAGTCACCATTGCCACTGCAGTTCTTGTAAACATGGCATATTACATCACACGGGGGTCAAGCGCATGCTTACCAAGCTTGGAGTGAGTCCGAGATGGCACTTTGTACTCGGAGCGGGATCACTTAGACATTGCTGCCCCCTAGTGGTAGATTTTAGGACAGCCGAAAGAGGCTGACGATGTCAACAACCAGCAAGGCATCAGAATGTGAATACAGTATGTTTACCTTTCCGGTAAACTGATTACAATATCCGGCTCCTTATTATTATTGTCATCCAACTAATGAATATTCAAATAACATTTGAGTTTTTTTTAGTTCGCCTATATCTTTTGCCTTGTTCTCATCTGTCGGTCTCTTCAAGTTGGAAACTGTCAGTGTTTTAAACCATTTTGAGATTTGTACAATTTTCGTTCGACTCTTTGAATGGAATAAATGGAACTGTGCCGTTGACCCTGCCTCTCTTGTCTGTCATTATTCTTTGGGCTGCCTTCAAACCCACAACGCAGCAACTCAATGGTTTTTATTGGGAGCAGTGCGTTGGAGGGCCTAGTGTTGTGTTCTGCTGTCTGCCATTACAGTAATGACATCCGTCAACCATTTGAAAATGTAGAACAGCGGTTTTACCAAATCATTTGGACATGCGTTTATGTTTTGGTTTTAAGGCACCCTTGGCCTACTATATGTCGGTTACATGATTATGCCATACCTTTTGGTTAACTAATCAGTCTGGGCTGTTAGAATTGTTTTGTACAAATGTGATTCTTTATACCAGAAGTGTCATACACGGCCTGGTTTTCCTAGCCCACAAGTATCTATACAGTAAACAAATGTATATACACTGCTCAAAAAAATAAAGGGAACACTAAAATAACACATCCTAGATCTGAATGAATGAAATAATCTTATTAAATACTTTTTTCTTTACATAGTTGAATGTGCTGACAACAAAATCACACAAAAATTATCAATGGAAATCAAATATATCAACCCATGGAGGTCTGGATTTGGAGTCACACTCAAAATGAAAGTGGAAAACCACACTACAGGCTGATCCAACTTTGATGTAATGTCCTTAAAACAAGTCAAAATGAGGCTCAGTAGTGTGTGTGGCCTCCATGTGCCTGTATGACCTCCCTACAACGCCTGGGCATGCTCCTGATGAGGTGGCGGATGGTCTCCTGAGGGATCTCCTCCCAGACCTGGACTAAAGCATCCGCCAACTCCTGAACAGTCTGTGGTGCAACGTGGCGTTGGTGGATGAAGCGAGACATGATGTCCCAGATGTGCTCAATTGGATTCAGGTCTGGGGAACGGGCGGGCCAGTCCATAGCATCAATGCCTTCCTCTTGCAGGAACTGCTGACACACTCCAGCCACATGAGGTCTAGCATTGTCTTGCATTAGGAGGAACCCAGGGCCAACCGCACCAGCATATGGTCTCACAAGGGGTCTGAGGATCTCATCTCGGTACCTAATGGCAGTCAGGGTACCTCTGGAGAGCAAATGGAGGGCTGTGCGGCCCCCCAAAGAAATGCCACCCCACACCATGACTGACCCACCGCCAAACCGGTTATGCTGGAGGATGTTCTCCACGGCGTCTCCAGACTCTGTCACGTCTGTCACATGTGCTCAGTGTGAACCTGCTTTCATCTGTGAAGAGCACAGGGCGCCAGTGGCGAATTTGCCAATCTTGGTGTTCTCTGGCAAATGGCAAACGTCCTGCACGGTGTTGGGCTGTAAGCACAACCCCCACCTGTGGACGTTGGGCCCTCATACCACCCTCATGGAGTCTGTTTCTGACCATTTGAGCAGACACATGCACATTTGTGGCCTGCTGGAGGTCATTTTGCAGGGCTCTGGCAGTGCTCCTCCTACTCCTCCTTGCACAAAGGCGGAGGTAGCGGTCCTGTTGCTGGGTTGTTGCCCTCCTACGGCCTCCTCCACGTCTCCTGATGTACTGGCCTGTCTCCTGGTAGCGCCTCCATGCTCTGGACACTACGCTGACAGACACAGCAAACCTTCTTGCCACAGATCGCATTGATGTGCCATCCTGGATGAGCTGCACTACCTGAGCCTCTTGTGTGGGTTGTAGACTCCGTCTCATGCTACCACTAAAGTGAAAGCACCGCCAGCATTCAAAAGTGACCAAAACATCAGCCAGGAAGCATAGGAACTGAGAAGTGGTCTGTGGTCACCACCTGCAGAACCACTCCTTTATTGGGGGTGTCTTGCTAATTGCCTATAATTTCAACCTGTTGTCTATTCCATTTGCACAACAGCATGTGAAATGTATTGTCAATCAGTGTTGCTTCCTAAGTGGACAGTTTGATTTCACAGAAGTGAGATTGACTTGGAGTTACATTGTGTTGAGCAGTGTATATTACTTTTTTTACACTGATGTGGAACACGTTATGTTATCTCTTAGATGTAATGTCCCCTGTTTAGGGGACCTGCGTGGTTCTGGTACCGGTTCTGACTGACATTTTCGCTTATGATTTTATCTGTGGACACCGTAGATCGAAATGGCTTGCATTGAGCGATAGCCCCGGTTCCCAAGGACACAGTAGTATATTTTCTGAGCCTGTTTCACATAGTATGTGAAATCTGAAACCACTTGAAGCTGGGATGTCCCTCCTACCATTTCATTCCCTCTTCCGACTGTCCAACTCCTGCCTGAACCCTACATCACAGCCACTGACAAAGCACATGCCTGCAATCCTTAGAGAGTAGCGCAGCTGGAGAGAGTGGTTTCATCACTATAGCACACTTAGAGATCGATTTACAGCCATTAAAATAATTGATGTTAAACACAAAACACTGTCATAGACGGACAATTTTAATATGAGATGAAAGGTGTGCTCCTAATGCGTTCAAGAAGCCAAGCTAGAGCTCTGAGACGTTCACAGCGATCAGGTCAGACGCTTTAATCAAGAGACCTTTAGAAAATATGCACATTTTCTAACACTAAACATACAAATATGTATTTGACAGTTAAGGTGAAATCTTATAGTTCATTTTATAATTTGATTATACTATATTTAGAAACCATATGTCATTGCAAGCCTTATTCATACAGTTTTGCTGAATAGGAAATACAAAATATTTCATTTTTATATTTGTACTCTGTGTGTACTTGAGCTTGTGTCCTCAAAAGTGACTAGACCTCAAAAATGTATAACTACTTTTACCAGAAAGGTGAGATTTTAACCTTTCTTGGAGTATGCAGCATTACTAGTTATTGTTTATGACCCTCATGATAAATAATTACTTTTGGGTATTACAGATTACATTATCAATTACATTTTATACAAGTAATTAGAAATTAAAACAGAAATTCCATACATCACTAAAGATGATAGAAAATGTATGGTAATCACTTGACAGTGTTTTTGGACAATAACAGAGTTGTAAACTATATGTATCAATCAGTCCCGTGTAGCTCAGTTGGTAGAGCATGGTGTTTGCAACGTCAGGCTTGTGGGTTCGATTCCCACGTGGACCAGTATGAAAAAAAATTGATGCACTCACTAACTGTAAGTCGCTCTGGATAAGAGCGTCTGCTAAATGACTAAAATGTAAAAATCAGGGTTTGAGGGCCTGCAGGACTGACTGGGGCACTTTGCTGGCGTAGTACTGGTGGTTGCGTAGAGTGGCCAGCACCCCGGCAGAGTTCATGTGCTTCACGTTAGCATCGTAACGCAACGCACTGCCATGCATGTCTGTCAGCTTACCTGCAGAGGGACAAACAGAAACAAACACATAGCAGGCAATATTATTACTGTCATTACTCATAATTAGAGGTACTTTCAGTAAGATCGAGAGGAAGGATGTTGCGTACCTCCTACTGCATGCAGGATGGCTTCAGGGGCACATGTGTCCCACTTTTTAGTTCCTAGACTGGCAAAGACATAGGCTGAGGCCTTCCCCTCCACAAGCTGAACAATCTACACAAAGAAAGGGTTCAACAGAGAAATAATACATTTTATAGTTATGTTGATACCTTTGCACCCCCATACCTTCTCATCCCTGTATATTTCACCTTATTTCCTGCTCCGCCAACTCTTATCACATCATGAGGTTCCATGGCATCCACGGTGTCTGTGACGAGTTTGTTGCTGTGGGAACGGGTGGTGGTGACTATGCGTCGGCCATCCGGGACCTCCTGTAGCTCGAACCCAAAGGCGCCCAGTCCCGGCATTCCCCACAGAGTTCTCCCCATTTCTGCTGTCTCCGTCCCCAGCTGTGGATACAAAACACAGGACATTACACACTCACGGACCAAGGTCGTGTTCAATAGGGCACACTGTAGCAAAACGTTTTGAAACTGAAAAATCTGTTTTTATTGGAAATCTGGTAACACTTCCCTATTTCTAAAATGTTTTCTCCCTACTGAACATGCCCTGATAGGTAAAAGGGTATAAGGCAGAAAAAGAATTTGTCGTCAATAATTTGTTGGTACCTGGTAATTGAAGAAGGGCTGGTTGATGACCCCAGCAATGGCCTTCCCTCCATATGCAATGCCAATCAGTACAGTCACGTGATCAAGAAGCCCTGAGATCAGATAACATGTTAGCTGAAGGGAACACAAACAGTGGACTTCACAAAAATATTGACATCCTACTGTACAACTAGCATCGACATCCTACTGTACAACTAGTATCGACATCATACTGTAGTAGTTTTCCAGCATGAAGAACAAACAAGTGATGTAAGGGTAGTATAATAGCACATAAAGGGAAAAAAGGATAGAGAAGCCCAAACATTCCTCCTTTACCCTTCACCTATTCTGCCCTTGTCCCTCCCAGTCCCAATGACCTCCCTCTGTCACCATACGGAGAGCCGTGCTGAGAAGCTAGGCATCCGACCCCTTATGACCCATCTGGACCTGATCTGACAGGTAAAGACACTTCGCCGCTGCTCAGCAGGGATGACATGAGAGAGAGAGAGAGCGAAAAAGAGGGAATCAGCACTGATGATTAGGAGATGTGACTGAATGAAATGTTCCCCAGATTTTTGTCAGAGAGGAAAATGCATAGGTCTAAGAGGAGAAGAGTAGTGTAAGAGAAGACTGAAATATCTAGTCGTAATCAAGGGTGTGTGTTGGAAGCCTGTAATTAGTGATCTAAACAAAAGACTGGCAAAATAATAACACCGTAGTAAGTTTGTTTACCTTCAGTGTATTCTTTAGTGCCATCAAGGGGGTCGACCCACACAACCAGCTAAAATTCAGACACAGGGACAGTCAAACACAGAAACACAGGTGGAATAAGAAGTCAGTACACAGAAAATGATCAAAATCAGTACAGTAGGTTTCGGTTTCAGCTCTAAAGTCCCTGTGTCTCACCTCCTCCTCTGTCAGGGCACTGTATTCCAATGGACAGGACTTTTGTAAAATTTCTTCAGACTGACCGCTCTCAATCAGGTCCTCTTTGACAGCCTCCTCTGGCAGATCCTGATGTGTGAGAGATGTTCACTGTTAAGACAGGGATGTTGTGCAATGTGTTGTGTACTCTAATCTTTACATCAAAAAACATTGGTCAGTAACATTAGGACATATCATATTCATGCAAGTTGCAGGGATTTACATTAAGGTCTGAAAGGCACTTGCCCATCAGACAAGTCAGCAGTATTTTTTGGTTGCCCAAAGATTAGTCACATGCCTGAATTTTTAAAAAGTAATTTGTTTACACACAAAATTGCGATAACTTGCCGGACACTTCATTAAACAACGCATTAAAATCTGTTTTACTGGCCTGCTACATCGGACGCATAACTTTTGCAGAACGTGAGACGCTCCAATTCATTTAAACGAAACCTGGGCGTAAGAGCAGACTCAACTTGCCCGACTGCTCAGTTCACTTGCCCCAGACAATAGTGCAAACCTCAACGTCAATACCTGACGTTGCACACACCCACCTCCTCTCCGATGATGGTGATTTTGGGGAAGCTTTTCGATAGGGAGGCACATATGCTCTGCTGGACTAGCCTGTCTGCCAGTGTCTGTAGATCGTTAGCCCCTGTCTGTCCACATGAGAAAGAGAGATCATTTATAAACACAACATTCAGGCTCCATTTCACTGTCCCATCAATTTCCCTCAATTCAGCACTTTGCCCCACTCTCTGTTCAGTCAGTCCTACCTTTTCCACGATTCCCAGCTCTCCGCTGTGAAGAACCCTCCTTATGATGGCTCCTGCCTTCTCTGCCACTGCGTAAGCCGAAGCAACCAAACGCATCACCACTGCTGGATTTCCCGACATTGCTGATGGAAGGAGAGATACAAAAGTGTACAGCTCCGAGATAAAAAAATATATAATATGTACCCTCAAGACGTTTAGACCCATATGATCACTCACATTAGTCAACAATAGTCAATTCAATGAATCAACACAACCCTCTACCTGTAGTAGGGGAAAGGACAGTATTTGCACTGTCACCATTACATGGGCTAAAGCACACCTTTAAGCACTTATAGACTACCTGTCCTTACACACACCTATATCAATGACACACTCTCACACACCTGAAATTAAGTAGCTACAGCAGGGGTAGGCAACCCTGGTCCTGGAGTGCCATAGGCACTTCATGTTGTTGATTTAACCGACTGGAAGACCAGGTGTTTTGAATTTAGGCAATCATTGAACTGATCAATTAGCTCAGTTGGTCTGGTGTGGTGCCTAGTTGGAACTAAATCCTGCAGTACTCCAGGAACAGGGTTGCCTACCCCTGAGCTAAGTAACAAGCAGTGTGCCAGGCACTAGGCTCATTTATGCAGTTATTGAAACTGAGTACCCTTCTAAACCCAACTGCCAAAGGTTACTAGCTAGCTAGGCATGTGTGTGTGTTATAGTGCTACTGCATGAAACCTGCTGATATTTTGAAGGAAATCGGCCTATTCTTTAACTTTTATTCCCCATGCATTAGACTACTAACTACCTAACGTGAGTGTCACAAGTCTGCAGCCCCAGTAGTGCTGGTTAGCTAGCTAGCTAATCGTATCTAGCTGATGTCGAAAGCAATCTCCATTGAGCTAACAATAACAATTCACTCAGCATTGAGGACACTATTTTCCCTGACGATTAACAATGCACTTAAAGCCACCACAATAGCTAGCTAGCTACCTCACTAACGTTTAATGAAAGAAGAGAATGGTACTTACTCGTGTCTACTTTAGATGTGACAGCTCAGGACTGGTTGTAAATGGAAATCCTGGAAAAGCGGAAATGTTATGATATCATGGTTAGCAGTAGCATTAAGAAATGATGGGTCCAAGTGCCCGACGGATTCGTGCTCGAGCCGGTTGCAACGTGCATGTTCGTTCGCGAGCCTTTAGCTTTAGGCTAGCTGTAGCTCGAGAGAGTGGCAGTTGATATTTGAAAATTGTTTGAAATAATGGAGTCAACCTGCTGAAACGGGCTAAATGGTAAATATAATGATATTTTAATTTATTTTAGTTTGATTATTAAAACAACAGCCAGTAAATTAGCCGAGGCAACGTTTATTTACCTTTTGTTTACCAAGTATCAACTGGCCAAACCAGATAATGTTACATACTGATAATGTTAATGGTGCAACCTAATCGAGAAAGATACGCTAACGTTAGCTAGCTAGCTACTGTATTATCGGTAATTGTCCTAGCATTAACTAGCTAACGTTAGATACCTTTAGCTAGCTACATAGATAATGTTAATGTTAGCTAGCTCTAACTAGCTAGCTAACGTTATGTGCAAAAAAATAAACTGTTCTTACTGGTGGATTTATAAAAAAGCTAACGTTAGCTAGCTTTTTATTTTTTTTACCTACTGTAGCTACGCTAGCTAGCTTACCTATGTATCTAGCTAGCTAAATAACAATGTTCGCTAACGTTAACGTTACATAATCGTAGCTAGCTGGCTTTTGATACCATTTACTAACATTTAGACACTAAACAATGACTTGCTGATGCTACCATATGTATTGTCTATTGAGAGGCTTTGAAGCCACCTGTTGGCAATATTGGCACTCCCCAGTAGCAATAATACTCCATAGGAATGAATGGAATTCTACAGTATTTAAATTAAAGGACAAAATTACATGTTTTTAAGTATGTTTTTGTTGTAGCACGGACAGTAACTTAACATTAATAATTTCAAGAAAAATATATGTTAAGGAAAAGAAATCCTAATCAATCTACACACAATACCCCATGACGAAGCAAAAACAGGTTTTTCTAATTTTTTGCTAATGTATTAAAACTCAAAAACAGAAATACAGTATTTACATAAGTATTCAGACCCTTTGCTATGAGACTCGAAATTGAGCGCAGGTGCATCCTGTTTCCATTGATCATCCTTGAGATGTTTCTACAACTTGATTGGAGTCCACTTGTGGAAAATTCAATTGATTGGACATTATTTGAAAAGGCACGCACCTGTCTATATAAGGTCCCTCAGTTGACAGTGCATGTCAGAGCAAAAACCAAGCCATGAGGTCGAAGGAATTGTCCGTAGAGCTCAGAGACAGGATTGTTTCCAACCACAGATCTGGGGAAGGATACCAAAAAATGTCTGCAGCATTGAAGGTCCCCAAGAACACAGTGGCCTCCATCATTCTTAAATGGAAGAAGTTTGGAACCACCAAGACTCTTCCTAGAGCTGGTCGCCCAGCCAAACTGAGCAATCGGGGTAGAAGGGCCTTAGTCAGGGAGGTGACCAAGAATCCGATGGTCACTCTGACAGCGCTCCAGAGTTCCTCTGTGGTGATAGGATAAACTTTCAGAAGGACAACCATCTCTGCAGCACTCCACCAATCAGGCCTTTATTTTAGAGTGGCCAGACGGAAGCCACTCCTCAGTAAAAGGCACATGACAGCCCGCTTGGAGTTTGCCACAATGCACCTAAAGACTCTCTGACCATGAGAAACAAGATTATCTGGTCTGATGAAACCAAGATTGAACTCTTTGGCCTAAATGCCAAGCATCACTTCTGGAGGAAACCTGGCACCATCCCTACGGTGAAGCATGGTGGTGGCAGCATCATGCTGTGGGGATGTTTTTCAGTGGCAGGGACTGGGAGACTAGTCAGGATCGAGGGAAAGATGAACAGAGCAAAGTACAGACATATCCTTGATGAAAACCTGCTCCAGAGCGCTCAGGACCTCAGACTGGGGCGAAGGTTCACCTTCCAACAGGACAACGACCCTAAGCACTCAGCCAAGACAACACAGGAGTGGCTTCGGGACAAGTCTCTGAATATCCTTGAGTGGCCCAGCCAGAGCCTGTACTTGAACCTGATCTAACATATCTGGAGAGACCTGAAAATAGCTGTGCAGCGACGCTCCCCAACCTGACAGAGCTTGAGAGGATCTGCAAAGAAGAATGGGAGAAACTCCCCAAATACAGGTGTGCCAAGCTTGTAGCGTCATACCCAAGAAGACTCAAGGCTGTAATCGCTGCCAAAGGTGCTTCAACAAAGTACTGAGTAAAGGGTCTGAATACTTATGTAACTGTGATATTTCACATTTTATAAATTTGCAAAAATGTCTAAAAACCTGTTTTTGCTTTGTCATTATGGGGTATTGTGTGTAGATTGATGAGGAAAAACCCAATTTAATCCATTTTAGATTAAGGCTGTAACGTAACGAAATGTGGAGAAAGTCAAGGGGTCTGAATACTTTCCGAATGCACTGTAATTTAAACGTACACTAACATTACCAGTGACCCCTAGGTAAATTAACGTTATTATTACCAACGATCTAAAGGTAATCCCCAAGTGCAGGGATGGGATTTTTCCTGATTAATCTGGAATTTCTGCTTTTCTGACATTTATCATCCATTCAAATAAAGCAACAGACCTGTCCCCTAGCCAAAATCCTGATTTCGTTGATTGACTATATTTTCCTGACTCCTGAATCACATCCTTGCAGATGAGAAGATGAGTGGAACCAGTCACCCAGATAGCACAGGTGACCCTAGTCCCATGGCTGACAACGTGCCCACAGATCGAGGGGCTGGAGGCCGGCGGGGCAGCAAGTTCCGTCGATCTGGTAGTTCTGTCCAGGCTGTGCAGGAGACCATGAAGGAGAAGCAGGTCTGTTGGATGAATAGTCATGGGGGAATTTGAGTTGAGAACAACAAGTGATGAGAACTTGTTCAATGAAGGTTCAGCTGCCCAGGCCAATGTGCTCACAGAGTCACAATTGTAGCTACTATCACTTCATAGGATTATACATATTTTTTACTGTGGGCTGCTACAGACCCACCTTACACTACCTCTGTTTGCCTGATGTGCACAGTACACCACCACAGTAAGAGTAACGTTAACACTTTGCCCTTTCAGGCCAGGTACAAGGAATCAAGAGAAGCTCGAAAGAAGCTACTTACCCCTGGGCACAAGTACATCTTTGAGATCTTGGCTGACAGGCTCTCCCTCGAACTACAAGCAGTAGAAGACTTTGTTTTAGATGCTCCATCTGTGAGTAGAACTGTCATTAATATGAATCCCAACAAGCTGTTGAGGTTCCCTATGAATTGTTGTTGTCTGGTCAAATCCTTTAACCTTTTACCTGCTTGAATATCAACAAAGATCTGAGATATCTTGTAGACACTGTTTTCCCCCCACAGTTGGCACCATTTGATGATTTCTTTGCCAAAGGAGGAAGTAAAACCATCGCATTTGTCTACCAAGAGACAGAAGTCCCAGGAATAGGTGAATGAAGGATCATTACCTCTGTATTTCTTCATATTACATAAAATGCGTACTGTAGCGCCACAGTGGCACCAAGACATTATTGTTTTGTTGTTTCTCAATTCATTGATTTTTGTGAAATAGATATGAAACATTTTATTGTCTGTTTATGTCACCCTTCACTCTGACCCAGACCTTTTAAATGGCGCAAGTTCAGTTCAATTCAATTGAATTTTATTTTCTTTCAGAGTGTGGACGCACCTTTCCTGGAACTGCAAAAGGAGCCATAATAATGAGACTATTTTTAGCCAATTTGTCTGAGACATGTCTGACTGGATTGTGCCCATTCTTTGTACGAACTAAAATTGACGTTCCTGTCAATATAAAAAACATACATGAGGTGAGATATTCTATGAAATATCTACGGAAGGTAGAGACTTCTGAACTGAAGGACTAAGATTTTGTAGATAATATAATCTATGATACCCTCATAATAGGTTCATATTGAATACATAAGAATGCTCTAATCATGAGTTTTCTAACTGTTAATGCTTGGTCAATTTCCATTCCGTTTCTTTTTGTAGGAGATTTATTTTTCTATGCTGGATGCCACTGAGGGTCTATTGAAAGGCACCAGGAATCTGTTGTCAAAGATTATGATGCCAGCTGTCTGTGCAACAGAAAACTGGGGTGCCTTGAATCAGTCGAAACATGGAGAGAAGGATAAACAAAACTTTAAAGACACAATCACCCGCTATATTCATTTCCTAGATGGTGAGAGAGTTACAATAAAACAAACTCGTGCACCCACACATACACACACAGTAGGCCTACAGCATCATTACGTTCTTGTGTTTCGTGTGATTTTGAGCTGGCAACAAGTCTAGTCAGTTTGTAAAAAGGTAGGCTACAGTTTGATTTTTGATGATGTACTGCAGGAATGCAAGCATGCATTGAAGGCACTGTTCAGCTGAAGACGGCCTCAAACATTGATTTCTCCAGGCTGGTATCCTTTGAAGACGTAAAGGCAGCAGCAGCAGATGTTGACATGGTGCATCAACTCGAGGAAGCGTTGATGATGTGGTACAAACAGATTGAGCAGGTACACCCCAGTATGACTGTCTATGCACTATGAACCTACACATACTGTAACACGGCACAACTGTGATAGATGTTCTCACCACTCCGTAGTACTTTAAGACTTCTGTTCTTCAACTCTATTTCTATGACCACCAGGTCCTTACAGAGAGTGATCAAATGAGGAAAGAAGCTGATGCCTCAGGACCTTTGACTGAGTTAGAGCACTGGAAGAGAATGTCGGCCAAGTTCAACTCCATCATTGAGCACGTCAAGGGCCCTGAGTGCAAGGCCGTGGTCAATGTACTCAATATCAACCGCTCCAAGACTCTAAAGGTACTATCATCACTTGGCTGTCCTCCTGAAGTGGCAATGAAAATGAAATATTTACCATTACATGCTCCAACAAAATCTTGACATTTTCCTGTTGTTGGTACTTATTATTTACTTTAGTTGTGGAGAGAGCTGGATGCCAGAATAACCGACTGTGCCAACGAGGCAAAGGATAATGTGAAATTCCTGTACACCCTCGAAAAAGTCTGCCAACCTCTCTACAACTGTGACCCGGTAAATAAAATGATGAATTAGTCTTCATTATTGTGGGTTGAAAGGTTTTATTCTACTTGATTTCACAAGTGAACATGTTTGATTTCAGGTCACCATGGCCAAGAGCATTCAGAACCTTATCAATGCCATTCGAATGATCCACAGTGTCTCACAATATTACAATACATCTGAACGAATGACTTCACTCTTCATCAAAGTACGTTTTTTCTCTGTATTCCATCAGAGATAATAAAATAGTTAATTGAATTATTAATTATGAAACAAATTACCCTCTTGGCTTTACCAGCTATGGGAATGGACATGGAATTGAACTGGAGCGTGTCATACATTTCTGGTGCCTCAAAAGACGAGTAAAACATAACACATATTTAAAGCTTGGTTGTTGTAATATTTGTCACTCAGGTCACAAATCAGATGGTTACAGCATGCAGAGCATACATTACTGACAACGGCACCTCCGGAATTTGGGAACAGGATACACAAGACATCATCAAAAAGATACAGGTGATTGATGATGGCATCAAAAATATGGTAAATTCTACCCCTGATTTACACTAGGCTTGAGTTTTGACAATTTTTGGGGGTTGATAGGATTGTATCTACTTGTTCCGGGAGTATCAGTCCTGCTTCCACAAGACAAAGAAACAAACCCTGGAGAGGCCTGGGGAGAAACCCTTTGAGGTATCAGAGATGTACATCTTTGGCAAGTTTGAGGGTTTCTGCAAGAGACTGGAGAAGGTATGTACCACATTAAAATGCAGCCAACCTTTTCCTTAAAAAAACCGGAAGGCCTGCTGCTACACATTTGAGATTAATGTATTTCTTGTTTTCAGATCACTCGGATGATCACAGCAGTAAAGACCTTCTCTGTCCTGGGACAGTCCACCATTGAGGGCATAGACACTCTGGCTTCCAAGTTCCAAAACATCTACTTAACCATGAAGAAGAAGCAGTATGACATCCTGGCCCCCAGAAAAGCAGAGTTTGAGGTGGACTTTGCCGAGTTCATGGTTCAGATAAGCAACCTCGAGGCATGTTTTATTAAACTTTGTTTGAGTAGATGAGTCTAAAATGTTTTGTTTTGTTTGTAGGTAAAGAAAAGCTCACAGCTTAACATGTTGTCAGAGTTCTAATTCCTAATTCTATGATGTTGTCATCCTTTATTTCTTTAGAACCAGCTCCAGATGTTCATGAATTCCTGTTTCTCCAAAATCCTCTCGTCTCAGCATGCCTTGTTTTTTCTGCAAAGGTAGACGACATCACTATATAAAAACGAAATCAACACTCAAACAATTGTAATAAAAATAAGACCGGGTTCTCCCCAGGATTTTTTAAGAAGGTGATGCTGTTGATTATGGTGGGGGGGGGGGGCCCGTAGGGGGGCAGTGCCCCTCTTTCGACATAGTAAAAAAATAAATAATAATAACTGTAACCGCCATTCCTTGCAATCTAGAGCCTTAAATGAAAACAAAGTATACACAAAAATAAAATAAGACATAGTGGCGCAGCCAGTCCACAAGGTGGCGCAGCGCCGCTCTTACATTCTTTGGGTAGAGCCATGTCAGAGTTGTCTACCTCACAAATGGAATTAGCATGCTGGTATATTTAACATTTTCAGAACCAAAGATGGAAATGTTACTTTGACGTATAGTTTTTTAATTGTCTGTAGATTTCAGAAGCTGAACATGCCCTGTCTAAAGACAGAAATCTCAAGCACAGTTGGGCTTATTCTTCAGCACTACGTCTCAGAGCTGGAGTCTGTCAAGAAGGTATGTTTATAAATGTAATCCTTAGTCCTGAAGATGATCAGGTAGCCTATAGGCACAGACGCATTATGGATCAGACTTTAGCACAGTTTTCTTTATCCATGCAGCTCTACCAGATTCACAGAGAGGACCCTCCATTGGCCAGGAACATGCCCCCTATAGCTGGCAAAGTCCTCTGGATTAGACAGCTCTACAGGAGCATACAGGAACCCATACACTACATTGAGGTAGGTTCAAACCTCACAACATGACCTATAAGATTTCTTGTACAGTTTCAGAAATCTACTAAGAATTTCATCTACTGAGAAACAACACTAACTTCAAATTTTTTCCACAGAAAAACTCAGAGATCCTGTCTAGTCCAGAGGGAAAGGAGGTGGTGAGAATGTACAACCGGACCGCAGCTGTGTTTGTGGAGTTTGAGCTTCTCTACCACAGAGCCTGGATGAGGGAGGTCTCACAGCTCCAATACGGTCAGCAGCCTACCCATTTATCTCATCTGATCTGAATTCATTGTTTTTTCTCATATTTCACAAAATATGCATGTCTTTCCCTGTATTTGATAACAGCTTTACAAGCAACCTTATTAGTCCGCCACCTGGACACAGGAAAACTACTCGTCAACTTCGATCCCAAAATCATGGAGATAGTGCGAGAGACAAAGTGCATGCTGAAGATGGGTCTGGAGGTTCCTGATCAGGCTCTGCGTCTGGTCAAGACAGAGTGGTCGATGAAAGCCAACAAACTTCGACTGGAGGTAATATCCTAGACAATGCAGAGTCACAGACATTAGATTAACTGATTAACCATATTGCCCTGATTTATTATTGCAGACTTTACTGTGCAACTACGAGGCCATCTGTGAGAAAATACCTGCCGTTTTCTACAACCTGATGGCATCCAAGATAAAAAATGTAAGAAAGTTAAAATGGTCTAAAATACAGTATGATCCCTTGAAGGAGAGATGTCACTGTTTGGAGACTAGCTAGTATTACCTCCTAAATTCATTTAGGTTGTTTTATTGTTTGTGGTTACTTTAGGTTGAGTCTGTGCTTCGCCACGGATTGGTGTTACTCAACTGGTCATCTCTCATCTTGGACAACTTCTTTCAAAATGTTGACACCGCCATGTCTGAACTTAACCATCTCCTAAAGAAGGTACACTGAAAATACTGCATTTAGTTCAAATGTAGTTCAATTGGAAAATACTTGTTGATGAGTCGTGTGCTCAACTTTGTGTTTCTCTTCAGGTGCGAGACATCTGTGAGATGCACATTGATACTGTCCTTCAAGACGTCTCCGAGACTGTGCTGATCGATCTCCCAGAGGACAGGCCCTCATCACTGCAAGGCCTCATCAGCACCAATGAGGTATGCCCATCTAATCGGTGGCAGGTAGCTTAGCATTTAAGAGCGTTGGGCCAGTAACCGAAAGGTCGTTGGTTCGAATCCCAGAGCCGACTTGGTGGAAAATCTGGCCATGTGGCCTTGGAGCAAGGCACTTAACCCTAATTGCTCCTGTAAATGACTAAAATGTAAATGTTGTGGGGAGACCTCAGTGTACAGTTTACATTGCCTTGCAAAAGTATTCATCCCTTTTGGCGTTTTTCCTATTTTGTTGCATTACAACCTGTAATTTAAATGGATCGTAATCTAAAAAATAAATAACAGAAAAGTGGTGCGTGCATATGTAGTCACCTCCTTTGCTATGAAGCCCCTAAATAAGATCTGTTGCAACCAATTACCTTCAGAAGTCACATAATTAGTTAAATAAAGTCCACCTGTGTGCAATCTAAGTGTCACATGATCTCAGTATATATACACCTGTTCTGAAAGGCCCCAGAGTCTGCAACACCACTAAGCAAGGGGCACCACCAAGCAAGCGGCACCACAAAGACTAAGTAGCTTTCCAAACAGGTCAGGGACAAAGTTGTGGAGAAGTACAGATCAGGATTGGGTTATAAAAAATATCAGTAACTTTGAACATCCCACGGAGCACCATTTAAATCCATTTTTTAATATGGCACCACAACAAACCTGCCAAGAGAGGGCCGCCCACCAAAACCTACGGACCAGGCAAGGAGGGCGTTAATCAGAGAGGCAACAAAGAGACCAAAGATAACCCTGAAGGGGCTTTACAGAAGAGTGGCCAGAAAAAAGCCATTGCTTAAAGTAAAAAATAAGCAAACAGGCATGTGGGAGACTCCCCAAACATATGGAAGAAGGTACTCTGGTCAGATGCCTCTCCTTGTGCGGGCGGCTATCAGCGGTCGTCGTCACCGGCTTTCTAGCTGCCACCGATCTACGTTTCTGTGTTCCATTTGTTTTGTCTGTATTGTACACACCTGGTTCCCATCACGTTAATTTGTTTCCCTATTTAAACCTCTGGTTCCCTCATGGTGTTGTGCGTGATTGTTCTTTGTTTTGTGTTATATACTGCTGTTTGCTGTTTTATTTCCCTGCTTGGAAAGTAGATTTGTTGCTTTTCCGAGTAAAGTTTGTCATTTACTCAGTTCTGTGTCCTGCGCCTGTCTCCGTCCTACCACTGCATCTTCAAAGTGGTAGGCATGTTGTGTATATCAAATGATACAAACTCCCAAAAAATCAATTTTAATTGCAGGTTGTAAGGCAACAAAATAGGAAAAATGCCAAGGGGGGTGAATACTTTCGCAAGCCACTGTACTTTAGTTTATTGGACTTTCAACATTATTACAGGTTTTTTAAAACAGTTGTTACTTTGCTGTTATAATAAAAACATGAATGTTGAATAAATTAGACAATAGTCTGGTCCAAAGTTTTTATATTTCCTAATTGCTAATTACAGCTTTAATCAGTTTCTATGACCGCCTTCTATGCACTGTCTCGTTGTTAGATTTCTTATTCTTACCATGAAATTGCTGTGACTCTGTTTTGTAGAACCAGTCAAAGGAGTGGGCAGAAATGTTGGACCACAAAAGCAGACATGTTGAAGAGGCAGTGAAGGAGCTGATTGAGATATTCAATACTATTTACGAGTCAAAAGAAGTCAAGAAACCTGTGGAAGTACCAGTTGTTAAAGGTATTTCATGAGAAACCCTGTAAAGAACCGGAAACTCTTAATATCTCATCTCATCAACATACTCATAAACATCCTCATCAAATTTAAACGTAACTCATTTTGTATTCCAGAGCGGAAGAATGTGGCATTCTCGGAAGAAGTTGACACCTCCGTTGATGATGATCATAGCGATGACAAAGAATCTGACAAAGAAGATGACTTTGAGAAGGTAAGTATCTTCCTGTACTGACTCCACCAAAATATACTGTACATTTGTGAGAACAGGGCGCTTCAATGCTTTAAACAACAATCCTGATCCTAGGAGTGCAAAGAGATGTACGCCTGGTTCAGCACCAAGCTACTTGACGCCTTGGTCAAAGCAACAAGGTTATCTCTGGACACACTGAAAAGAAGAATCTTCGTTGCGACGTAAGTATGCATGGGTTGTCATATACAGTATTATCCCTTGGTTTAGCTAAAAGAGATTAATTGTAGCTGTATAGCTCGAAATGTTGGGCTAATATTCTCAGTTGAGTCATTTGAAGGAGTGTAAAGATTTTATTCAGAGTCTCTTACTTCTCTGTTCAGCTTGTCAGCAAGAAAGGGACGTTTCAGCCAATCACAACCAAGCACAGAGGAGCTGGTGACTTTTATCAAATCCGAAGTCCACCTGACCATACCCAATGTGGTGAGTTCATTTTAGATTCAATTTGAAATGTTTTATTTAATATAATTACATTCTTACATTTTGCACCAGGTGATGGTACCCAGTTTGGATGACATCCAGCAGGCCATCAACCGGCTGGTCCACCTGGTGCTGGAGGTGAGCCGGGGAGTGACCCGTTGGGGACAGGAGCACCACCACAAAGGCAAGCCCAAGTCTGGCAGTAAGACTCAGCCACCATCTTATCTTACCACTAAACACAGATTGTACATTTCTCCACTTGTGAAAATTCACTGTTAGAATTAGGAATCATACAACTTCCCAGGAAATAGAATACTGTATTTTGCAGTCCTTTGAATTGTGTTGACATTGATAACACAATGAGTATTGATTTACATTTTTACATTTACTTCATTTAGCAGACGCTCTTATCCAGAGCGACTTACAAATTGGTGCATTCACCTTATAGCCAGTGGGATAACCACTTTACAATTTTTTTATTTTTTTTTATTTTTTGGTGGGGTAAGGGGGGTGTAGAAGGATTACTTTATCCTATCCCAGGTATTCCTTAAAGAGGTGGGGTTTCAAATGTCTCCGGAAGGTGGTGAGTGACTCCGCTGTCCTCGCGTTGTGAGGGAGCTTGTTCTACCATTGGGGTGCCAGAGCAGCGAACAGTTTTGACTGGGCTGAGTGGGAACTGTGCTTCCGCAGAGGTAGGGGAGCCAGCAGGCCAGAGGTGGATGAACGCAATGCCCTCGTTTGGGTGTAGGGACTGATCAGAGCCTGAAGGTACGGAGGTGCCGTTCCCCTCACAGCTCTGTAGGCAAGCACCATGGTCTTGTAGCAGATGCGAGCTTCAACTGGAAGCCAGTGGAGTGTGCGGAGGAGCGGGGTGACGTGAGAGAACTTGGGAAGGTTGAACACCAGACGGGCTGCGGCATTCTGGATGAGTTGTAGGGGTTTAATGGCACAGGCAGGGAGCCCAGCCAACAGCGAGTTGCAGTAATCCAGACGGGAGATGACAAGTGCCTGGATTAGGACCTGTGCCGCTTCCTGTGTAAGGCAGGGTCGTACTCTCCGAATGTTGTAGAGCATGAACCTACAGGATCGGGTCACCGCCTTGATGTTAGCGGAGAACGACAGGGTGTTGTCCAGGGTCACGCCAAGGCTCTTCGCACTCTGGGAGGAGGACACAACGGAGTTGTCAACCGTGATGGCGAGATCATGGAACGGGCAGTCCTTCCCCGGGAGGAAGAGCAGCTCCGTCTTGCCAAGGTTCAGCTTGAGGTGGTGATCCGTCATCCATACTGATATGTCTGCCAGACATGCAGAGATGCGATTCGCCACCTGGTTATCAGAAGGGGGAAAGGAGAAGATTAGTTGTGTGTCGTCTGCGTAGCAATGATATGAGAGGCCATGTGAGGATATGACAGAGCCAAGTGACTTGGTGTGTAGCGACATGAAGGATTATTTAACTTGAGTTGTTTTCTCAGCAGGGAAGCTGAAGAACTTCTATCAGAGCGTAGCTGAACACAAGGACATCTGTAAGCTGGTGGTCCTCCTCACATCAGCAGTCAACTCTCTGAGGAAACCGGCCAGTGATGTTCTCAAGCAGTTCCATCCCTTTAAGGTGGTCTGGGCAGAGGACAGACAGATTAAGGTCAAGGTGTGTCAATGCTAAGTCACAAACTTTTTTTAGTTACTATTTGCTTGTTTACTACAAACTAAGTTGACATGTAATAATATAATAATTTGGTGGGTGCTGATATTTGTCCTGTGTCACACATGGACAAGTTTGTATTAAACGCATGTGTGAACTGGAAACGTTTTTTTTTTGCATATCCCAACTCCCCCTGAGACACCTTCAGAGAGTGGGGTCACTGCCAGGGTCAGCAACCTTTCGGATACTGGCCCAACACTCTAATCGCTAGGCTACCTGCCGCCCATATTGGGTGCATCGACAGCGTTGTTTTTCCTTCTCACTAACCTGTGGAATCTTATCTCTTCTTTGAATAGGAGTTCATGGACAGCAACCCCTACCTGACTCAGATCAAATCTGAAATTCTGCACTACGTGGCATTCGAACAGGAGATTGATGAAATCAAGCCTAGCATTATTTTGGGGTCCATTGAATTGTCAACAGGTATGGCGTATACAAACTAGGCCTTTAACTCATGAGCGCTTAATGAAACCTTCATAAGCCCTTTAAAAGGCCTACATACTGTAAATGCTTCACAAGTCTTTGATACTTAGTAAACCACAAATAATTGGCTAGCTATTTATTTTGTGATCATTTTCCTTTCTCCTAGCTCCGCTGAAGATGTCTCTGACAGTCGAGGCAAAGGCCTGGAAGAAGCTCTTGTGCAAATACCTGAATGAGCAGTACAAAAAGAAAATGATGGAGATCATGACTTTCACTGGAGAACACCTGAAAAAGCTCTCCAGGCCTATCGCAGACCTGGAGGATGTGCGTTTCGCCATGGAAGCCCTGTCCAAAATACGAGACTCCGAGATCAAGATAGACATGACCCTGGGACCCATTGAGGTAAAAATTCAAACTATGGCTTATAATTTGTGGGATTGCAATGGTAGGAGATTGCACAGATACATATTTGTGAAGTACTTTTCTCATACTATCTGTTATGTCTGCTAGGAAGCCTATGGGATCCTGAATAGATTTGAAGTGGAGGTGACCAAAGAGGAAGCGGAGGGGGTGGATACTCTCAGATACTCCTTCATCAAACTGCAGTCCAAAGCGGTCAGTTGAAATGGTTAACTACTATACATTTATCCTGTGGAATAACTAATGTTTGCAACTCAGTTGTACATTTTTGACGAATTACATATGGTATTATGTAGTCAAAATAGCAATTTTGTTTATTTTGTTACCCCAGAGATCAGTGCAAGACCAGCTGGTTCGTGTGCAGCCCAAGTTCAAACGGAACCTGTTGGAATCAGTCACTGTTTTCCAAAAGGATGTTGTGATGTTTACAGACCAGTATGAACTGGTAAAGAAGAAATTCACACATTGTATTTATTTACTTCAGTTACCACACAGTAGATACATACAGTGCATTCAGAAAGTATTCAGACCCCTTGACTCTTTCCACATTTTGTTACGTTAGTCTTATTCTAAAATTGATTAAATTGTTTTTTTCCTCTCATCAATCTACACCAAATACCCCATAATGACAAAGCAAAAACAGATGTAGAAGTGTTTGCAAATTTCTTCAAAAAAAAAAACGGAACTATCACATTTACGTAAGTATTCAGACCCTTTACTCAGTACTTTGTTGAAGCACCTTTGGCAGCGATTACAGCCTTGTCTTCTTTGGTATGATGCTACAAGCTTGGCACACCTGTATTTGGGGAGTTTCTCCCATTCTTCTCTGCAGATCCTCTCAAGCTCTGTCAGGTTGGATGGGGAGCATCGCTGTACAGCTATTTTCAGGTCTCTCCAGAGATGTTCGATCGGGTTCAAGTCCGGGCTCTGGTTGGACCACTTAAGGACATTCAGAGACTTGTCCCGAAGCCACTCCTGCGTTGCCTTGGCTGTGTCCTTAGGGTTGTTGTCCTGTTGGAAGGTGAACCTTCACCCCAGTCTGAGGTCCTGAGCGCTCTGGAGCAAGTTTTCATCAAGGATCTCTCTGTACTTTGCTCCGTTCATCTTTCCCTCGATCCTGACTAGTCTCCCATTCCCTGCCGCTGAAAATCATCCCCACAGCATGATGCTGCCACCACCATGCTTCCCCGTAGGGATGGTGCCAGGTTTCCTCCAGAAGTGATGCTTGGCATTCAGGCCAAAGAGTTCAATCTTGGTTTCATCAGACCAGAGAATCTTGTTTCTCATGGTCCGAGAGTCCTTTAGGTGCCTTTTGGCAAACTCCAAGCAGTCATGTGCCTTTTTACTGAGGAGTGGCCACTCTACCATAAAGGCCTTATTGGTTGAGTGCTGCAGAGATGGTTGTCCTTCTGGAAAGTTCTCCCATCTCCACAGAGGAACTCTGGAGCGCTGTCAGAGTGACCATCAGGTTCTTGGTCACCTCCCTGACCAAGGCCCTTCTCCCCCGAGCTCTAGGATGAGTCTTGGTGGTTCCAAACTTTTTCAGTTTAAGAATGATGGAGGCCACTGTGTTCTTGGGGACCTTCAATGCTGCAGACATTTTTTGGTATCCTTCCCCAGATCTGTGCTTGGAAACAATCCTGTCTCTGAGCTCTACGGACAATTCCTTCGACCTCATGGCTTGGTTTTTGCTCTGTCGTGCACTGTCACCTGTGGGACCTTATATAGACAGGTGTGTGCCTTTTCAAATAATGTCCAATCAATTGAATTTACCACAGGTGGACTCCAATCAAGTTGTAGAAACATCTCAAAGATGATCAATGGAAACAGGATGCACCTGAGCTCAAAGTCTCATAGCAAGGGTCTGAATACTTATGTAAATAAGGTAACCTGTTTTTGCTTTGTCATTATGGGGTATTGTGTGCCTTTTCAAATCATGTCCAATCAATTGAATTGATGAGGGAAAAAAATAATTTACTCAACTTTGGAATAAGGCTGTAACGTAACAAAATATGGAAAAAGTCAAGGGGTCTGAATAATGTCAGAATGCACTGTAGGTCATTATTGGGGTCATTGTTTGTTGTAGGAGGGCCCAATGGTGCCTGGGATAGTTCCCAACGAGGCCAGCACCAGGCTGCAGATATGCCAGGTAACACTAACACACACACACCACAGACACTACACACACCACACCACACCACACATATACTCAACATAGACAAGTTTTCCAGGTAATATACACAAAACAAATAAACTTGTCTTTCATGTGATGCGCATAGACGCACACAAAAGGGTTTTACAGCAGTTAATCTACACAGATGTGTTACATGCGTCATGGGTGTTTTTCTTTTTCTTCATATCTTCAGGCCAGATTTGATGACCTGTGGAGGAAATTCATCACCTACTCGTCAGGAGAGCAGCTCTTTGGCCTACCAGTCACAGATTATGAGGCTCTGCAAAAAACACGGTAAACTGTAATGGATGTTATTCACCATAGACATACAATCAGTGGCCATTTAGTACTGGGTCAGACCCCCCCTTTGCCTACAGAACAGCCTGAATTCATTGGGGCATGGAAACGTTGCTCAATTGGTTTCAAGGGAACTAACATGTGCCAGTAGGAAAACATTCCTGACACCATTACACCACTGCCACCAGCCTGTACCATTGATACCAGACAGGATGGGGTCATTGACTCGTACTGCTAATGACAAATCTTGACTCTGCCATCAGCATGATGCAACAAGAACCGGGATTCGTCGGACCAGGCAATGTTTTTCCACTCCTCAATTGTCCAGTGTTGGTGAACTCGTGCCCACTGGAGCCACTTCTTCTTGTTTTTAGCTGATATGAGTTGAACCAGGTGTGGTCGTCTGCTGCAATAGGCCATCCGTGACAAGGACCGACGAGTTGCGTTCCGAGATGCCGTTCTGCACACCACTATTGTACTGCGCCGTTATTTGCCTGTTTGTGGCCCGCCTGTTAGCTTACACAATTCTTGCCATTCTCCTTTGACCTCTCATCAACAAGCTGTTTTCACCCACAGGACTGCCGCTGACTATACGTTTTTAGTTTGTCGCACCATTCTCAGTAAACCCTAGACACTGTTGTGCGTGATAAACCAAGGAGGCCGGACGTTTCTGAGATACTAGAACTGGCGCACCTGGCACAGACGATAATACCGCTCTCAACGTCGCTTAGGTCACTCGTTTTGCCCATTTTAACGTTCAGTAGAACAGTAACTAAATGCCTCGATGGCTCTCTGCCTGCAAACCACGGCCACGTGACTCACTGTCTGTAGGAGTGAAAAAAATTTGTGAACTGGGTGGTGTACCTAATAAACTGGACACTGAGTGTATATACTCCACATATACAGATATTCTTATAGGTCATCTAGGTTTATATACAATACATCATTGGTTGTCACTTGTAGAACGATCATATCACTGAAATTATGACTGTCTGATATTCAATACTTCTTGTTTCATCAACAGTGTAGTTAGATGACAAGATAAAGATGATACTATTTATTTTGTCACCATAGAAAAGAGCTGAGTCTACTCCAGAAGTTGTATGGACTCTATGACACCGTGATGGCCAAAATTAGTGGATACTACGACATTCTATGGACAGAGGTGGACATTGAGGCAATCAACGCAGAGCTTTTGGACTTCCAGAATAGGTACTGTACTTTTGCTGTCGTGTTATATTTCTGCTGATTCAGAATTACCTTGCTGTTTCCTTTCATAGGTCATATCATTAGGGGAGCAAAATGAAAATGAGCGTGTTTTATTGGACAGATAGTACCTCCCTGTTTCACTCTGTTTTGGAATCTTTCTTTTTCGTTTTGTGCCTACTGAACACTACCCTGTTGTTGAGATGTAATGAATATTTTGACCACTAGGTGTAAGAAGCTGCCCAAAGGCCTGAAGGACTGGCAGGCATTTTTGGACCTGAAGAAGAGGATCGATGACTTCAGCGAGTCTTGCCCCCTGCTGGAGATGATGGCCATCAAGGCCATGAAGCAGAGGCACTGGGACCGCATCACCGGCCTGACGGGCAAAAAGTTTGAGGTGGAGTCAGACACTTTCGCCCTGCAGAACATCATGGAGGCAAACCTGTTGAAATACAAGGAGGACATTGAGGTTAGTGTTATAATACACAATTAAATTAAATCTTTATTACAGGGAAATCCATGATGATAGCATAGCTATGTTAGCTTATATTTGCTTATTTTACAGGCTTAAAGCATTATTTAATCTTTGATGTAGTGTTTCTGTAGTGGTCTTCCCCACTGTTTGACATGTTAACTGTCCTGTCTTGTTGTGCCTCAGGATATCTGCATCTCGGCGGTCAAGGAGAAGGACATTGAGGCCAAGCTGGCCCAGGTGGTGGATGTGTGGTCCAGTCAGTCTCTGAGCTTCATGACCTTCAAGGGCCGAGGAGAGCTGATGCTGAAAGGGACAGAGACCTCTGAGATAGTCGCTACCATGGAGGACAGTTTGATGCTGCTGGGATCATTGCTGAGCAACAGGTATGAACAACTAACTGACTTGGCTACAGATAATGACCTTCACTTGATCAAAGTCAGGTGTTGTTGTTGGTAGAATGTTAATGCTGCCAGACTCTTACCTTGCCCTTACATCTTTGCATAGATACAATGCTCCGTTCAAGAAAGACATTCAGAACTGGGTCTTCAAGTTGTCTACCTCATCTGACATTATTGAGCAGTGGCTTATCGTCCAGAACCTGTGGGTGTATTTGGAGGCTGTGTTCGTGGGAGGTGACATTGCCAAACAACTGCCACAGGTACTGCACGAATGCCCATCTGCAGATCAGCAAAACATTTGATTTATGCATCTTGATCATATAAAGGATCTCCACACTGTAGCAAAACATAATGCCAATATTCAAACATATGTCTTCAACATGAAGAAATATTCCCAGCAATCGTGTTGCATGGCAATATACTCTAGTTTTCTGATTCTGACATTATATTTTTTCTCCCTTTAGGAAGCCAAGCGCTTCCAGAACATTGACAAGTCGTGGATCAAGATCATGCAGCGTGCCCATGAGATCCCCAACGTGGTGCAGTGCTGCGTGGGAGACGAGACCATGGGTCAGCTGCTGCCTCACCTGCAGGAGCAGCTGGAGCTCTGCCAGAAGTCTCTCACTGGGTACGGATAAAGACTGTTCAGCTCAAACTGTTTAGCATTGGCACCTCTTTCATCTGACTACGTTACTTGAACTCAACAGGTACCTGGAGAAAAAGAGGCTCCAGTTCCCCAGGTTCTTCTTTGTTTCTGATCCCTCCCTCTTGGAAATCCTGGGACAAGCTAGCGATCCACACACAATTCAGGTAGCAGCGGCTCTTAGAACAGCAGAGATTTGTCTAAATAAAAAGAGATGCACAATGACTCAGATAAGGGAAACTCTCTTTTCCAGCCTCATCTCCTTGGTGTGTTTGACAATGTTAACGAAGTGGAATTCCACGCCAAAGATTATGACAAGATTTTGGCTGTCATTTCACAAGAAGGAGAGAAAGTGCCGGTATGCAACATTATCATTATGATCAAATGCAATACTCACTATGATCTCGTGTGTGTGTGTGTGTATTAATAATAATTTGGTAGGTGCTTATATTTGTCCTATTTCACATGTGTGAATTGGAAATCAGTTTTTTGCATATCCCAACTCTCCCTGAGACACCAGGGCCAGCCATTATCAGCAGAAACCCTGGAGCAATTAGGGTTAAATGCGTCGCTCAAGGGCACATCAACAGATTTTTTAACCTTGTCGGCTCCGGGATTCGAACCAAACCTTTCGCCACCCTCTGTGTATGTGTGTGTGTGTGCGTGCGTACGTGTGTACATGTGTGTGTGCGTGCGTGCATATGTATTTGTGTGCGTGTGTCTGTGTGTGTGAGTGACCGCTCACATGTATCTGTTTGCAGCTGGACCACCCAGTGATGGCGAGGGGGCCTGTGGAGCTGTGGCTGGGAGAGCTGCAGATGCAGCAACAGGCCTCTCTACACTCTGTCATCAAGGCTGCTGACCTCCAGATCAACGACTCAGGCTTTCAGCTCCTCACCTTCCTCAACCAGTTCCAAGCACAGGTGGAGAGAGCAACCTATAAATCCATTATATGAACCAGAATGATGAAGAATATCCATTTAGGATCAATTGTAGGATCAATTGTCAACTCGGGATCAATTGTTGAATCATAGGATCGATCAATTGTCAAAAATATATGTAATTAGAATTAGTGTATCATTGATATCTTTGTTTTCTCAGGTGGGCCTGCTTGGCATCCAGATGCTGTGGACACGGGACTCGGAGGAGGCGCTGCGCAACGCCAAAGACGACAAGAAGATCATGCCAACCACCAACCAGAAGTTCCTGGATCTGCTCAACACACTGATTTCACAGACCACCCACGACCTGACCAAGTTTGATCGTATCAAGTTCGAGACGCTCGTCACAATCCACGTGCACCAAAGGGACATCTTTGATGACCTAGTGAGTCGCTGGAAAATAAAACATTCTTATGTCTCTAAGTTACATTTTAGAACATTTACATTTTGGGTTTTGGGTTCAAACACAAAGCTATTTAAATGTTTTGCTATTCCTTTTCAGGTCAAAATGCACATCAAGTCAACCACTGACTTTGAGTGGCTGAAGCAGAGCAGGTTCTACTTCAAGGAGGACTTGGATCATGTCTTAGTGTCCATTACCGACGTCGACTTTGTTTACCAAAACGAATTCCTGGGTTGCACTGACCGTCTGGTCATCACCCCTCTAACTGACAGGCAAGAAAAGATGATGCTGGTTCCTGTGTGTGTGTGTGTGTGTGGTGAAGATCTTTCCTTAGTGAAATGTTCAATAACCATGATGTCAAACCATCAATTTATAGGTGCTACATCACACTATCTCAGGCTCTGGGCATGAGCATGGGCGGCGCCCCAGCCGGGCCAGCCGGTACAGGGAAGACTGAGACCACTAAAGACATGGGCCGCTGTCTGGGGAAATACGTGGTGGTCTTCAACTGCTCTGACCAGATGGATTTCAGAGGACTTGGCAGAATCTACAAAGGTGAATAATTGATGCAATTGAGTTGATTTCATTATGTCAACTCAATGGCAACAATTGGAAGTGTGCCCTCTTTTCTCTATGGGCAAGCTAGGCTAATCATTTTGGGATGCTAATGTTAGTAGTCAGTTGTCTAATGCAGTGGTTCCCAAACTGTGGGGCACGCCCCATAGGGGGGGTGCGAGGGGTCGGCAGGTGGGGCGCGGGGTCCCGTCCCCCCAGTTTAGTTTTTTTAAAGGAACTCAGTCCGGCTTTAAACTTACTCTTGAAAGTTGTAATAGTAGAACGCACAAGGTGCAATTTTGAAATTGTGTAGTGCATAATCAGTTCCTCTTGTTACGTTAGTCATTGCATACCTTTTGAGAGCTATTTATAACTTGTCCAGAAATGTCCAGCTCAACTAGCCTATGTCAGCAAAACATTTTCTAGCCCATAGGTATTGTACTTTTTTAGTCTCTAAAATCACATTAATACAAATTAGACATGGCAAAATGTATTGAATTGCAAGAAAATTTGCTTTAAAACGGCAAAGTTTTCTTTGCATTCCATGACAAAATGTGTAGAATTGCAGGAAATAAGCTTTAAACCTGCAAAATTCTTTCCACCAACAACGGGCCGTGAACAGTTTGTCATGAACAGTGCTTGTGCCCATAGAAATAGACGTGGCGCGTGCGTGCACAGGGGGGGCGCGGGATGTTCCCCAATGCTGGAAGGGAGGCCCGAGTGAAAAAGTTTGGGAACCCCTGGTCTAATGTCAGTTGTTAATGTTGGTCTTCTGCTTACTTCCAGGTCTTGCCCAGTCTGGCTCCTGGGGCTGCTTTGACGAGTTCAACAGAATTGACTTGCCTGTGCTGTCTGTAGCTGCACAGCAGATCTACATCGTTCTCTCATCCCGTAAAGACCGCAAAACACAATTCATCTTCACCGACGGGGACTTAGTCAGTCTGAACCCAGAATTTGGGCTGTTTATCACCATGGTGAGTGGGAGGCAAGACAACAAAGCTTTGCCATTAGTCACTGAGTACAAGCTCTTTGACAAGCAGCATGTATAAAGCTTTTGAATACCAACATGTTTTCATGTTATCCTGTTATTTCATAGAACCCTGGTTATGCTGGGCGTCAAGAGCTGCCAGAGAACCTGAAAGTACAGTTCAGAACTGTGTCCATGATGGTGCCAGACAGACAGGTGGGTTGAGTTCCCTTCCCTCAGGTTAACTACCACACTGGGATTGTAACCCACTGTGTCTTAGCTGCCGGTCAACAATGTGTTCCCCATTGTTTTCCAGATCATCATGAGGGTGAAATTGGCCAGCTGCGGTTTCATTGAAAACGTTGTCTTGGCCCAGAAGTTCTTTGTGCTCTACAAACTGTGCGAGGAGCAACTGACAAAGCAGGTGAATGCAGAGGCAGTCATCCCTGTCTGTACTGGCCTTTTAAAGAACAAGAATAAATGAACTGCTACACTAAGACTGACAGTCAATCCATCCTATCAGGTCCACTATGACTTTGGTCTGAGGAACATCCTGTCCGTGTTGAGAACCCTGGGGGCCAATAAGCGAGCCCGACCACAAGACACAGAGTCCAGCATTGTGATGAGAGTGCTGCGCGACATGAACCTCTCCAAACTGGTATGAAAAGAGACATCATCAGCAAAACTATTGATCCTCATTATTATGTTTTTTACATGCTAACACGCTAACATATTTTGTCTCTTTGGTGCTTCTCCCTGCCAGGTGGATGAGGACGAGCCTCTCTTCCTCAGTCTGATCAGTGATCTGTTCCCAGGGATCCAGCTGGACGGGAGCACCTACGCTGAGCTGCAGGTTGCCGTGGCCAACCAGGTGGAGCTGGCAGGCCTCGTCAACCACCCTTCGTGGAACCTCAAACTTGTTCAGGTGACACTTTTAGTTCTGTGCTCAGTCACATACTTTTACAAGTGCTGATTGCACTGGTGTGTAACCAAAGATAGATAGATATATATATATATATATATATGAACACAAAGTGAATATATGTTTGAATGATTGATTTAAGAAAAGGTTTATAGTAATAAAGTTACCCTCCAAAGAGGGTGAAATAAAACATTTGCTCTTGTGTGTGTCAGCTTTACGAGTCGTCGCGTGTGCGTCACGGCCTGATGACACTCGGCCCCAGTGGAGCTGGGAAGACCGCTGTCATCAACATCCTGATGCGGGCCTTGAGCGAGTGTGGAACGCCCCACAGGGAGATGAGGATGAACCCCAAGGCCATCACGGCCCCCCAGATGTTCGGGCGTCTGGACGCCGCCACTAACGACTGGACTGACGGCATCTTCTCCACGCTGTGGAGGAAGACTCTGAAAACCAAGAAGGGTACAACTGTCCGACTGAATGCACCTTGGGATACAGTATTGATATGGTGTTACCATCTGTGAGAGCATTGTTAGATGAATTAGTGTTCAAATGGTTCAACCTCTGAATAAGGATTTTCTCTCGACAATCCAGCCACAGAGCTTCCAAGGGAGTAACAATTAGAAACATTTATTACATTTACATTTACATTTTAGTCATTTAGCAGACGCTCTTATCCAGAGCGACTTACAGGAGCAATTAGGGTTAAGTGCCTTGCTCAAGGGCACATCGGCAGATTTTTCACCTAATCGGCTCGGGGATTAGAACCAGTGACCTTTGGGGTACTGGCACAACGCTCTTAACCACTAAGCTACCTGCCGCCCTATGTTGGATAGTCAATCTTCTGTGGGTGAACAAACTAAGTACCATGTTAAATATTACGTTTTTGGGAAACTCACCACTTTTTGTTGTAGGAGAGAACATTTGGATCGTCCTGGATGGCCCTGTGGATGCCATCTGGATTGAGAACCTCAACTCTGTTCTGGATGACAACAAGACCCTGACCCTGGCCAATGGTGATAGGATCGTCATGTCCCCAGCCTGTAAGCTGGTGTTTGAGGTGCACAACATGGACAACGCCTCCCCGGCCACCGTGTCCCGCGTGGGCATGGTCTTCATGAGCTCCTCGGCTCTCAGCTGGAGGCCAATACTGCAGGTACAGGGCTTATTATGCAATAACACAAATCAAAGTGCTCCTTATTATTATACTCAGTGTGTGGATAGTGTAAGACTTTCTTCAATAATCCAGTGAAATTTTCTAACTGGCCATTGTATTCAATATCAGATATGTGCCAAATGGCAATATGCTTTGTGTTACAGACAGAGGATGTCAGGGTGGCGTAACTTTTAAAAAATCTTCAGATTCCCCTAATGTGCTTAGTCCTCATAATGACCTAGTTATGACTAAGTATAATGTTCTGTATGTTGTAGGGATGGGCTTACAAACGCAGTGCAGTGGAGGCAGACAATATCATGAGTCTGTATGACAAAGTCTTTGAGGATGCCTACGTGTACTTGAAGCAAAGCCTCAAGCCCAAAATGGAGCTTTTGGAGTGCAACTACATCATGCAGGTATGAATTAAATGCCTTCAGTATTTTGTAACCTTAATTTAATCATCACTCTGTTCCAATATTCACACTAGCATACCACTTAAAATGAAGCCTTGTATTGGGCATGCATTCTAAGTGCTATTCAAGTATGGATATTGGAACATAGCCTAAGAGTCTCTTGAGATAAACAATCTCTAATTTTCCCTTTTTTATATACATATTACTATGTATGATAACTGACCCCATGTCTGTGACTGTATGTGTTCAGTCAGTGAACCTTCTGGAGGGCCTGATCCCCACTAAGGAGGCGGGGGGCCTGGTCAGCAGTATGCAGCTGGAGCGCCTCTTTGTCTTCTGCCTGATGTGGAGCGTGGGAGCCCTACTGGAGCTGGAGGACAGGGAAAAGCTGGAGGCCTTCATCAGGGCCCATGAGAGCAAGGTGGACATTCCCAAAACACAGCCCGGAGAGACCATCTTTGAGTATATGGTCAACCAGAACGGTAAGTTTATTCATAGCCCAGAAGGTCAGAAAACGTAAAAATATGTTAACAAAATGTGTTTTATAACCCGTATACAACCTGTCCATGACGTCACGAGAGTCATAATGACATCATTGCACTGTTTTGTCCCATACCCACTGGGGCTGTTTTTCCTGGATCCCTATGGGTCTTGGTTGCTGCACTGTACGGTACTATATGTGGGCAGTGCTCTGTATATGATGCAGGCGTTTCTGTTTCAGGTAACTGGGACCATTGGAATAACTATGTGGTGGAGTACATCTATCCCACTGACTACGTGCCAGATTATGCCGCCATACTGGTTCCCAATGTGGACAACACCAGAACCAGTTACCTTTTGGAGACTATTGCAAAACAGCGTAAGGTACTGTACACACACACTGTCACAAACGAGACTCCCGCTGTTCCTCCTGCTCACCACCAGAGGGAACCCTCTCCTGAGTATTAAACCCCTGAACTACATTTCCCACATACCTGGCTCTGATTACCGTTGCACCTGACTCCCATCAGTAGACTATTTAGGTGCTCTCAAACTCTCTCTCTTTGCGAAGTCTTGTTTACCCTGGTGATCATTTCTGAGCGTTTTCGCCTGTGTCTGTCTGCCCGTGGATTTACTCTGGACTGTTTTTCCCTCCTTGATTCTTTGCTGCCTGCCCTGGACTATATTCTTTACTGGACTGATTTTTGTAAGCTTGCTGCCAGCCCTGACCTTATGCCTGTACCTGGATTACGAGTTGCCTTATCCCTACTGTTGTGTCTGCTGGCGATTGACCCTGTTTGTACGACCAAGATTGTAATAAAACTGCAAATGGATCCTCACTCTCCTGGAGCGTCAGTACACACACACACACACATTGGGTCAATTGGGTTAAGTCGTCTCGATAACATGTTGGTGTAATCATAACGTTTTTACAGGCTGTGTTACTCATTGGGGAACAAGGAACTGCCAAGACAGTGATGATTAAAGGCTACACCAACAAGTACGACCCTGAGACAGACCTGTCCAAATCACTGAACTTTTCTTCTGCTACTGAGCCTACCATGTTTCAGGTGAGATATGGATACATTATATACATTACACAGTATATTACATATACATCATATAATACCGTATTACATAGCCTACATTACATAGAGAAGGTGATTCAGTGCTATTGCATGCGTGACCAAAAAATGTTCTCACCAAATTTGGAGGAAGGATTGTTGACATATATTTGACATTTGTATCTAAAAGCATAATTTAAAAATATTCCAAGTTGGCATTTTATGACATTTTGGCCTCCTTTAAGACTCCATAATGTTTAATCTGTAGGTGCTACAAAGCAGAAATTGGTGTCGTATGAATCTTTACCGCTTGCTCTGTAATATGAGTAGTATTTTGATTTCATTTTTTTTTTTTTTACATTAATTTATGAATATTGAAAAATAGAAACAAGCGGTAAAGCTTCATATGACACCATTACAGAGCAAGCGGTAAAGCTTCATATGACACCAATTTTTTCTATGTAGCACATACAGATGAGACAATGGAGTCTTAAATTAAAGGAGGCCTGAGTAAGGCCAAAATGTCCGAAATATGCCAACTTTGATTAATTCTTTCTCAATTATGCTATTAGATACAATGTAAAATATATAACAATCCTTCCTCCAAAGGACCATTCTATGGATTACATTTAATGAAAATCCCCCAAATCATGGTCTTTTTTGTCCTGGTTTCGTGAGGAATCACTTTATAGTGTTTCTTCTGAGTAGTAATGGAAGTGTTGTATTTATCACAGCGCACAGTGGAGAGCTACATTGAGAAGCGAATGGGCAGCACCTACGGACCTCCTGGAGGACGCAGAATGACCATCTTTGTGGATGACATCAACATGCCCATTGTCAATGAGTGGGGCGACCAGGTACTGTAGTCATAGCATTTCAATTCAACCCATCCATATAGCCATCACTGAGGCAGGGCTCTGGACTAACTTTTTCCCCTGGTGGTACTGATGCCACTAACTTTTCAGTTGAAAGGACCAGCCCATGATTTGGTTGCACCCAAAATAAATTGCGGCGTCACAATAGAAAACATTTGTAATCACCTTATAAAGTCATTCACAGTGACAACAGGAATTTACAATGGTTTGCATTTGCAAAATAACTGATTGTGTTTGTTTATTCTACACACAGATCACCAACGAGATAGTCCGTCAGATGATGGAGATGACTGGCATGTACAGTCTGGACAAACCAGGAGACTTCACCACCATTGTGGACATGCAGATGCTGGCTGCTATGATTCACCCTGGGGGAGGCAGGAACGACATCCCCCAGAGACTGAAGAGACAGTTTACCGTGTTCAACTGTACCCTGCCATCCAACACCTCCATCGACAAGATCTTTGGTAGGCTACTCGCCTCTGAATTACTTACTGACTAGCTGTGATGCAGCAATCAAGTTATGCAATATCACACACACACAGAGTACTTTACGTGTCTCTATTCCCACAGGCATCATGGGCTGTGGATACTTCCACGAATGCAGGGAGTTCAAGTCTGAGATTTCTGAGATGGTGAAATATCTGGTTTCCGCTGGTAGGATCCTGTGGCAGTGGACCAAGGTAAGCACTGTCCCAAGATCAGAATTAATGCTTTACTGAATATATTTAACCTGGTCCCAGATCTGTTTGTGATGTTTGGCATACTAAAGACCATAGTAATTGGCCCTTCGCTAAGCCACGCCTCCTTGGTTACTGTTGCAACCTCGGACAACATTTTCCCATGAAGCCCAATTCCCCATTCAAACCCCTGGAGAAAACCCCTCAAAATGATCTCAAACTGTGTTTTTAATAGACAATTAAATTAAACTCAGACTACCCCTTGCTAATCAGGAGATTCTCCGGTATGTTGGAATGTCATTACAATTGCTTCACGGGAACCTGGTAAAATTACGTTTGTAGTGTGGCTAGCCACTGGATGGCTCTGACTATGCACTATCAGCATGCAGTCAAAGCTACTAACCACTTTTGGAGTTAATTAGTGCTCTCAAATGTATCCTGATGTTGACAGCAGATGAGAGTTATATTAATAATATAGCTAACTTAGCTAGATAACATACATTTGGAGAAAACAAGTTATATAAACTCGATAGCTAGCTAGCGTTAGCTAAATGTTTTACAGTGGTCAGTGAGAGCTAGCTAACCAGCTAGCAAACACTGCAACAAAGTATATTTTCGGATTTAAAAAATACTAATTTCAGGAATCACAGTCGCAAGTAGCCCTTGTACACTGTTAAATTATTTAAACAGTATTTTTAAAAATAAACTCTCTGTTTTTGCAACTGCCCTTATTGGTTTCCATGCGTTTGAAACTAGAGATTGTCCAAGGCTGGTTGGTTCTCGAGCATGGTTAGCAACAGTTGCTATCCAACGGAGCGCTGCAATTGGTTGGCGAAAATTCTGGGGCGGGGCTTAGCAAAGGGTCAATTGGCTGTACAGCACAAACAGATCTGGGACCAGACTAGTATTTGATCAGTGCATGAACACAACATCACAGACGTTCCTAAATGTTAATGTATACCACTACTATGACCTCCCAGGTGAAAATGCTGCCCACGCCCTCAAAGTTCCACTACATCTTCAACTTGAGAGACTTGTCAAGGATCTGGCAGGGCATGCTCATCATCAAGGCAGATGAGTGTGATGATATCCCCACCTTGCTGGCGCTGTTCAAGTGTGAATGCACCAGGGTGATCGCAGACAGGTACAGACCTGGAATGAATAGGGTCCCTGTGATGAACACTTTGCATTCACAGTTATGATAAAGTCACAATCATAAAAAAAAAATTCAACACAATTGCAGTCCTGCCACTTGGTTTCCTCTAAAGCTGAGGGATGGGGCTGGAGAAATTATGTAAACATTGATGTAGTGCCATTTTCTTAGCTGCCGGAGCACAAAAGAACAAGTTAACAACGTCATAATTTCTCTGAGTTTGTACAATAGATGTAGCCTATTGAATATCATTATAGCATATGCATGAAATGCACCCTTCAAATGCAATGTCTGCCTATACCTACACATAATGTCTAAAGACATTTCTATTTTTAACCCATTCATCTCCGTAACGGAAATTTAAAAAAATACTCTGGTACACTTGTTCTCTGAGCTTACTGATGGACAAATCTACAATGTGAGTTTTTGATATTGTACTATATTTAGTCATTGGATGCATGGGGTTACTGTTTTTTATACATTTCATGAATCAAGTCATGTGAATACATGTTCAAATGATCAGATCTTAATAATGTTTTGTATATACACTACCGGTCAAAAGTTTTAGAACACCTACTCATTCAAGGGTTTCTCTTTATTTTTACTATTTTCTACATTGTAGAATAATAGTGAAGACATCAAAACTATGAAATAACACATATAGAATCATGTAGTAACCAAAAATGTGTTAACCAAATCAAAAATAATTTTGGGAGATTCTCCAAATAGCCACTCTTTGCCTTGATGACAGCTTTGCATCAAGGCAAATGGGCCTCACAATGGGCCTCAGGTTCTCATCACGGTATCTCTGTGCATTCAAATTGACATTGATAAAATGCAATTGACATTCCTGCAGTCAGCATGCCAATTGCTTATACTGTATAATATACTCTAGGAGTGAGTGTGAGTGGATTTCTTTAGATATTGTTTTTATATATGTATATATTGGTACGCTGTTGAGTTTGGCCGCATGAGAAAAATGTTTGACCATTCAGCTAATCATCCACAAATCTCATAAGAAATTAGGTGGTGTTTTGGTCTAACAGTACCATTATACTATGCTATTATACACTGCTCAAAAAAATAAAGGGAACACAAAAATAACACATACTAGATCTGAATGAATGAAATAATCTTATTAAATACTTTTTTCTTTACATAGTTGAATGTGCTGACAACAAAATCACACAAATTATCAATGGAAATCAAATGTATTAACCCATGGAGGTCTGGATTTGGAGTCACCCTCAAAATTAAAGTGGAAAACCACACTACAGGCTGATCCAACTTTGATGTAATGTCCTTAAAACAAGTCAAAATGAGGCTCAGTAGTGTGTGTGGCCTCCACGTGCCTGTATGACCTCCCTACAACACCTGGGCATGCTCCTGATGAGGTGGCGGATGGTCTCCTGAGGGATCTCCTCCCAGACCTGGACTAAAGCATCCGCCAACTCCTGGACAGTCTGTGGCGTTGGTGGATGGAGCGAGACATGATGTCCCAGATGTGCTCAATTGGATTCAGGTCTGGGGAACGGGCGGGCCAGTCCATAGCATCAATGCCTTCCTCTTGCAGGAACTGCTGACACACTCCAGCCACATGAGGTCTAGCATTGTCTTGCATTAGGAGGAACCCAGGGCCAACCGCACCAGCATATGGTCTCACAAGGGGTCTGAGGATCTCATCTCGGTACCTAATGGCAGTCAGGCTACCTCTGGCGAGCAAATGGAGGGCTGTGCGGCCCTCCAAAGAAATGCCACCCCACACCATGACTGACCCACCGCCAAACCGGTCATGCTGGAGGATGTTGCAGGCAGCAGAACGTTCTCCACGGCGTCTCCAGACTGTCACGTCTGTCACATGTGCTCAGTGTGAACCTGCTTTCATCTGTGAAGAGCACAGGGCGCCAGTGGCGAATTTGCCAAACGTCCTGCGCGGTGTTGGGCTGTAAGCACAACCCCCACCTGTGGACGTCGGGCCCTCATACCACCCTCATGGAGTCTGTTTCTGACCATTTGAGCAGACACATGCACATTTGTGGCCTGCTGGAGGTCATTTTGCAGGGCTCTGGCAGTGCTCCTCCTGCTCCTCCTTGCACAAAGGCGGAGGTAGCGGTCCTGCTGCTGGGTTGTTGCCCTCCTACGGCCTCCTCCACGTCTCCTGATGTACTGGCCTGTCTCCTGGTAGCGCCTCCATGCTCTGGACACTACGCTGACAGACACCGCAAACCTTCTTGCCACAGCTCGCATTGATGTGCCATCAAGGATGAGCTGCACTATCTGAGCCACTTGTGTGGGTTGTAGACTCCGTCTCATGCTACCACTAGAGTGAAAGCAGCCAGCATTCAAAAGTGACCAAAACATCAGCCAGGAAGCATAGGAACTGAGAAGTGGTCTGTGGTCACCACCTGCAGAATCACTCCTTTATTGGGGGTGTCTTGCTAATTGCCTATAATTTCCACCTGTTGTCTATTCCATTTGCACAACAGCATGTGAAATGTATTGTCAATCAGTGTTGCTTCCTAAGTGGACGGTTTGATTTCACAGAAGTGTGATTGACTTGGAGTTACATTGTGTTGTTTAAGTGTTCCCTTTATTTTTTTGAGCAGTGTATTTGGTTCTGTTATGTTGAATACTAATTCATTATTATGTGATGAACTGAGACATTGATTCAGTTTTGATCTAACTTTAGTAAATATTGTGAGAAGTGGCGGACGGCAGCACTACACCCCTGGACGTAACCACTCTCAAATTCATAGATGGAGGACTGACAGTCCATGAGAATGAAACCAATGACCATATGGTGATTGTGTCCCTGTGCTGCAGGTTTGTCTGCTTTGAGGACAAGGTGTGGTTTGAGAAGGCCATATCCAGGGTGATCCAGGAACATGTGGACCCCAGCCTGGTGCCTGACCTCCACCCTGACCCCTACTTTGTGGACTTCCTGAGAGAGGCTCTCGAGCCCACGGGAGACGAGGCAGACGACGTCTGTTTGGACGCCCCCAAAGTTTACGAACTGGTAAAGAGCCAAGGCACATTGGCACTAAACTCAGTAGTCTTATGTTGTCCAAACTAGACATAAGGGCTGGATTCCTGGACACAGATTAAGCCAAGTCCTGGACTGAAAATATACAGTACTTCCTGCATGCTTTTCAGTCCAGGACTAGGCTTAATCGGTGTCTGGGAAGCAATCCCTGAAGGTTTAGATTTCATCCATTTGCAAAATGTGTATCTATTTAACCAAAGTAATGTGTCCTGATGTCTCATCATTAGGTGCCCAGTTTTGAGTTCCTGCGTGAGAAGCTGATTATCTATCAGAGCCAGTACAATGAGAATGTTAGAGGGGCCAGTCTGGACCTCGTGTTCTTTACTGATGCCATGACTCATCTCATCAAGGTTAAGCTAACATCCTGGCTGCCGTGTTATTCATAATCAGTCAATATTACTCTGTCATCTGTGTTTCGAACTTTTGTTTAATTAAAAGGTCTTGTAACAACATCTTTAGATAAGGTGAGAATCTTTATCCTGTGGTCCCCCCACAGATCTCACGTATCATCCGGACAGACTGTGGCAACGCGCTGCTAGTGGGAGTGGGAGGATCAGGAAAACAGTCTCTCACCCGCCTGGCTTCCTTTATAGCCGGATACAGTATATTCCAGATCACCCTGACCAGGTAAGTATGAGGGGTTATGTGGTGGATGGTCAATAACAGTTAGGTAAAGTAGGTAACAATGGATCCTAGAGATCCTATTAAATTACTAGAGGGGCTATGTCATAAACCCTCAAAGTTCCAGAATAGGATGATAATGGCCGTCATTGTGGTAAAGGAAATCCAAACCAGTCTAATTGGAATGAATGGCAGTAGAGTCATAGGTCATATTCCTAATTCTATGTGAGCAAAGGATTTGGAAAGATGAAAGGAGTATAGTAAGGGCAGCAATTAGTGTTATGCAAGCATTTAAATTAGGCAAGTCAGTCTCAAAACCAGCTTTATTGTATTGAACATGTATTTCTATCTGAAGTATAGTAGTAATTCATTGATGCTCCATATACTAAGGAGATAATGAGAGTCCAGCTGAGAATTGGTCGCTAATGCCCCTGTTTCCTATCTACCAGGACGTACAACATCAGCAACCTGATGGACGACCTGAAGGTCCTGTACAGAACAGCCGGGGCGGACGGCAAAGGCATCACCTTTATTTTCACAGACAACGAGATCAAGGATGAGGCCTTCCTGGAGTACCTCAATAACGTGCTCTCATCTGGGGAGGTGATCAATTTTTTTCTTCTTTTTAGGGGGTAGATCAGCTTTAATACTGCAGATAGATTGTAGCTTCCATCAATGTAATTGTCTGCATCATTTCCAATCCCCCATATATTTGTTTGTGTGTGTATATATATATATATATATATATATATATATATACACACACACACACACACAGTGAGGGAAAAAAGTATTTGATCCCCTGCTGATTTTGTACGTTTGCCCACTGACAAAGAAATGATCAGTCTATAATTTTAATGGTAGGCTTATTTGAACAGTAAGAGACAGAATAACAACAAAAACATTCAGAAAAACGCATGTCAAAAATGTTATAAATCGATTTGCATTTTAATGAGGGAAATAAGTATTTGACCCCCTCTCAATCAGAAAGATTTCTGGCTCTCATGTGTCTTTTATACAGGTAACGAGCTGAGATTAGGAGCACACTCTTAAAGGGAGTGCTCCAAATCTCAGTTTGTTACCTGTATAAAAGACACCTGTCCACAGAAGCAATCAAACAATCAGATTCCAAACTCTCCACCATGGCCAAGACCAAAGAGCTCTCCAAGGATGTCAGGGACAAGATTGTAGACCTACACAAGGCTGGAATGGGCTACAAGACCATCGCCAAGCAGCTTGGTGAGAAGGTGACAACAGTTGGTGCGATTATTCGCAAATGGAAGAAACACAAAAGAACTGTCAATCTCCCTTGGCCTGGGGCTCCATGCAAGATCTTTTTTTTTATTTTTTATTTTTAAGTCATTTAGCAGACGCTCTTATCCAGAGCGACTTACAGTTAGTGATTACATATATATTTTTTTTATACTGGCCCCCCGTGGGAATCAAACCCACAACCCTGGCGTTGCAAACGCCATGCTCTATCAACTGAGCTACATCCCTGCCGGCCATTCCCTCCCCTACCCTGGACGACGCTGGGCCAATTGTGCGCCGCCCATGAGTCTCCCGGTCGCGGCCGGCTGCGACAGAGCCTGGATTCGAACCAGGATCTCTAGTGGCACAGTTAGCACTGCGATGCAGTGCCTTAGACCACTGCGCCACTCAGGAGATCTCACCTCATGGAGTTGCAATGATCATGAGAACGGTGAGGAATCGGCCCAGAACTACACGGGAGGATCTTCGCAATGATCTCAAGGCAGCTGGGACCATAGTCCTCAAGAAAACAATTGGTAACACACTACGCCGTGAAGGACTGAAATCCTGCAGCGCCCGCAAGGTCCCCCTGCTGAAGAAAGCACATATACAGGCCCGTCTGAAGTTTGCCAATGAACATCTGAATGATTCAGAGGAGAACTGGGTGAAAGTGTTGTGGTCAGATAAGACCAAAATCGAGCTCTTTGGCCTCAACTCGCCGCGTTTGGAGGAGGAGGAATGCAGCTTATGACCCCAAGAACACCATCCCCAACGTCAAACATGGAGGTGGAAACATTATGCTTTGGGGGTGTTTTTCTGCTAAGGGGACAGGACAACTTCACCGCATCAAAGGGACGATGGACAGGCCATGTACCATCAAATCTTGGGTGAGAACCTCCTTCCCTCAGCCAGGGCATTGAAAATGGGTCGTGGATGGGTATTCCAGCATAACAATGACCCAAAATACACGGCCAAGGAAACAAAGGAGTGGCTCAAGAAGAAGCACATTAAGGTCCTGGAGTGGCCTAGCCAGTCTCCAGACCTCAATCCCATAGAAAATCTGTGGAGGGAGCTGAAGGTTCGAGTTGCCAAACGTCAGCCTCAAAACCTTAATGACTTGGAGAAGATCTGCAAAGAGGAGTGGGACAAAATCCCTCCTGAGATGTGTGCAAACCTGGTGGCCAACTACAAGAAATGTCTGACCTCTGTGATTGCCAACAAGGGTTTTGCCACCAAGTACTAAGTCATGTTTTGCAGAGGGGTCAAATACTTATTTCCCTCATTAAAATGCAAATCACCTGAACCAAATCTTATTTAACGAGGAAAAGTATAAAAACCACTGCTGTGGTCATCACTATCCTCTTGCAATAGGACCAGCTGGATGGCAAAAACAGTGCTAATAGTACATCAAAAGTAATATTAATCAAAAAATAACTATTGACCATGCCAAAAGAGTTGAAAAGGAAAGTTTTGAGTGAGGAAAAGAAGGGTTCAATTCTAGCTTTACTGTCAGAGGGATACAGTGAGCGTCAGGTTGCTTCCATCCTTAAAATTTCAAAGACAGCGGTTCATAAGAACAAGGTCAAGCAGCAGACATTGGGGACAACAAAGCTACAGACCGGCAGAGGGCTAAAACGACTCTCTACTGACCGGGATGACCGCCAACTCATTCGAATGTCACTCAACAACCGTAGGATGACATCAAGTGACCTACAAAAAGAATGGCAAACGGCAGCTGGGGTGAAGTGCACAGCGAGGACGGTTCGAAACAGGCTCCTAGGGGCAGGGCTGAAGTCGTGCAAAGCTAGAAAAAAGCCCTTCATCAATGAGAAGCAAAGAAGAGCCAGGCTGAGGTTTGCAAAAGACCATAAGGATTGGACCGTAGAGGACTGGAGTATGGTCATCTTCTCTGATGAGTCCAATTTTCAGCTTTGCCCAACACCTGGTCGTCTAATGGTTGGACGGAGACCTGGAGAGGCCTACAAGCCACAGTGTCTCGCACCCACTGTCAAATTTGGTGGAGGATTGGTGATGATCTGGGGGTCCTTCAGCAAGGCTGGAATCGGGCAGATTTGTCTTTGTGAAGGACGCATGAATCAAGCCACGTACAAGGTTGTCCTGGAAGAAAACTTGCTTCCTTTTGCTCTGACATTGTTCCCCAACTCTGAGGATTGGTTTTTCCAGCAGGACAATGTGCCATGCCACACAGCCAGGTCAATCAAGGTGTGGATGGAGGACCACCAGATCAAGACCCTGTCATGGCCAGCCCAATCTCCAGACCTGAACCCCATTGAAAACTTCTGGAATGTGATCAAGAGGAAGAAGGATGGTCGCAAGCCATCAAACAAAGCCGAGCTGCTTGAATTTTTGCGCCAGGAGTGGCATAAAGTCACCCAACATCAATGTGAAAGACTGGTGGAGAGCATGTCAAGATGCAAGAAAGCTGTGATTGAAAATCTGGGTTATTCCACCAAATATTGATTTCTGAACTCGTCCTAAGTTAAAACATTAGTATTGTGTTGTTTAAAAATGAAAATGAACTTATTTTCTTTGCATTATTCGAGGTCTGACAACACTGCATCTTTTTTGTTATTTTGACCAGTTGTCATTTTCTGCAAATAAATGCTCTAAATTACAATATTTTTATTTGGAATTTGGGAGAAATGTTGTCAGTAGTTTATAGAATAAAACAAAAAATTTATTTTTACCCAAACACATACCTATAAATAGTAAAACCAGAGAAACTGATAATTTTGCAGTGGTCTCATAATTATTTCCACAGCTGTATATACATTTACATTTACGTCATTTAGCAGACGCTCTTATCCAGAGCGACTTACAAATTGGTGCATTCACCCTATAGCCAGTGGGATAACCACTTTACAAAATTTTTTTTTTTGGGACACACCTACTCATTCAAGGGTTTTTCTTTATTTTTACTAGGGGTGTAACGATTCGTTTTAACAACGATTCGATTTGTATCACGATTCGTGGTTGTCGATACGATTCAAGGACGATATTGGTTCATTTAGAACGATATGATCCGAAACGATTCAGTGACTTGAAATCGATTCAGTAACCTTTTAGCCAAAAATTCAACCAGTGTGACTGAAATAAATACCTGGATACTGGACAGTGCAGGTGAAGTTTCCTAGATTCCTGTTTCTTGTAAGGACCGCAATGGTGGCTTGATAATTTCTCGCTCGTCTGCTTCTCCTCTGTTGTCCGCCATGCTTTGTTTTGTTGTCTTGGCGCCTTTGCGCTGCTGCTGGCGCGATGACGTCACGGATAGGCAGACTGAATCGAGTAATGTTTAAAGCCTTTATCATTAAAAGTGCTAAGAAAAAACATCCATATAAAGTCTGACGTGCTTAAATCCAATGGGTTATTTCCTAGTATCGATACAATCGATTTATTACATTTTAAAACGATGTTAGATCGATATATGTTGTCCAAAAGGCCAACTCGCCGAGCACAGATCGATGCAGTTGGATCATAGGAATATAAATCGATACATCGATGTAGTAGATGGATCGTTACACCCCTAATTTTTACTATTTTCTACATTGTAAAAAAAGTAGTGAAGACATCAAAACTATGAAATAACACATATGGAATCATGTAGTAACCAAAAAAGTGTTAAACAAATCAACATTTATTTCAGATTTTAGATTCTTCAAAGTAGCCACCCTTTGCCTTGATGACAGTTTGCACCCTCTTGGCATTCTCTCAACCAGCTTCACCTGGAATGCTTTTCCAACAGTCTTGAAGGAGTTCCCACATATGCTGAGCACTTGTTGGCTGCTTTTCCTTCACTCTGCGGTCCAACTCATCCCAAACCATCTCAATTGGGTTGAGGACGGGTGATTGTGGAGGCCAGGTCATCTGATGCAGCACTCCATCACTCTCCTTCTTGGTCGAATATCCCTTACATAGCCTGGAGGTGTGTTGGGTCATTGTCCTGTTGAAAAACAAATTATAGTCCCACTAAGCGCAAACCAGATGGGATGGCGTATCGCTGTAGAATGCTGTGGTAGCCATGCTGGGTAAGTGTGCCTTGAATTCTAAATAAATCACAGACCGTGTCACCAGCAAAGCACCCCCATACCATCACACCACATCCTCCATGCTTCACGGTGGGAACCACACATGCGGAGATCATCCGTTCACCTACTCTGCGTCTCACAAAGACATGCCGGTTGGAACCAAAAATCTCAAATTTGAACTCATCAGACCAAAGGACAGATTTCCACCAGTCTAATGTTTCTTGGCCCAAGCAAGTCTCTTATTATTATTGGTGTCCTTTTAGTATTGGTTTCTTTGCAGCAATTCGACCATGAAGGCCTGATTCACACAGTCTCCTCTGAACAGTTGATGTTGAGATGTGTCTGTTACTTGAACTCTGTGAAGCATTTATTTGGGCTGCAATTTCTGAGGCTGGTAACTCTAATTAACTCATCCTCTGCAGCAGAGGTAACTCTGGGTCTTCCTTTCCTGTGGCGGTCCTCATGAGAGCCAGTTTCATCAAAGCGCTTGATGGTTTTTGCGACTGCACTTGAAGAAACTTTAAAAGTTCTTAATTTTCTGGATTGACTGACCTTCATGTCTTAAAATAATGATGGACTGTAATTTCTCTTTGGTTATTTGAGCTGTTCTTGCCATAATATGGACTTAGTCTTTTACCAAATAGGGCTATCTTCTGTATACCACCCCTACCTTGTCACAACACAACTGATTGGCTCAAACGCATTAAGAAGGAAATAAATTCCACAAATTCACTTTTAAGAAGGCATACCTGTTAATTGAAATGCATTCCAGGTGACTACCTCATGAAGCTGGTTGAGAGAATGCCAAGAGTGTGCAAAGCTATCATCATGGCAAAGGGTGGCTACTTTGAAGAATCTCAAATATAAAATATATTTTGATTTGTTTAACTTTTTTTTTTTTTTTTTTACTACATGATTCCATATGTTATTTCATAGTTTTGATGGCTTCACTATTATTCTACAATGTAGAAAATAGTACAAATAAAGAAAAACCGTGTAATGAGTAGGTGTGTCCAAACTTTTGACTGGTACTGTAAATACACATGTATTATTAAAATATATTTTCCTTTATTATTTTCCCCTATGATCAAGTTACTCTGTTATCTAACGTTATTCTAACGCTACTCTAGTGAAAGAAAAAGTTCAAATTTTTCATTCTTAAGTATTTAGCTTGTTGTGTGCAGGTGTCCAACCTGTTTGCTCGTGACGAGCTGGACGAGATCACTCAGAACCTCATCGGTGTGATGAAGAAAGAGTTGCCTCGCGTCCCGCCCACCTTCGACAACCTGTACGACTACTTTATCTCCCGGGCCAGGAAGAACCTGCACGTGGTGCTCTGCTTCTCTCCTGTATGATTTAGTAATACTGGAAACATAAAAACACCACCTCCAATATTGTCACTCAACAATTCCGGAGTTTGTTATGTAGTTGTCCCATTAATAGTATTTGCCAGAGTTGTTGCATAGATAGGTTTGCTGGCATCAGCCGTTGTGGGTGGAGTGAAATTACATTCTTTCATATCTTTATTGTGCATATTCGTTCGTATTCATTCATCCATCTATTTATTTCCCGACAGGTTGGTGAGAAGTTCCGCTCACGCTCCCTGAAGTTCCCAGGTCTGATCTCAGGCTGTACTATGGACTGGTTCACTCCCTGGCCCAGCGAGGCTCTAGTGGCTGTGTCCCAGTACTTCCTCTCTGACTTCCACATGATATGCTCCCTCGAGGTCAAAGCCGCAGTGGTACAGACCATGGGCATATACCACGATAAAGTGTCCTTCACCTGCGAGAGCTACTTTGACAGGTAGTCGACTGAAGTTGGAAACTCTCATGCAAATCTAGTCTTCAAACCACATTTACATTTATAAATGACAAGAATTTACATGTCAGATAGTACAGTTATGTCAAACAAATGGCGTCCATTTCTAATACCCAAAGCCTGTCTGAATAACCTACGAGTGTGTTTTAATTTGTCCACCCCAGGTTCCGAAGAAGAACTCATGTGACCCCTAAATCCTACCTGTCTTTCATCAATGGATACAAGACGGTATACAGTGAAAATTACAACTTTATCAACACACTGGCTAAGCGCATGAATGTTGGTATGGAAATCCAATGGAGTGGCTACTAGCCAAGGCATAATAATGAACTTCGTACAAACTGCTTATTATATTGTAAAGAAAATAAATGTTGTGATTTCTTGTCAGATTGCGGTTTTGTGTAAATGCTTTGTATTGCAGGTCTGACCAAACTGTTGGAGGCTAGCGAGTCTGTGGCTCAGCTGTCCAAAGACCTGGTGGTTAAGGAGAAAGAGCTGGCTCTGGCCTCCATCAAAGCAGACAAGGTAAATGGGAAATAAAATAGAAACCATAGAAAGAGAATTTAATTATATTTTTATGTAGGAATCACCCTTTCACATCCATTCACAGAATACACTCATGTAAAGTTTGACTGCTGATCCGGGATCTGTTGTCTTGTCTGTACAGGTGCTGGCAGAGGTGACAGTAAGCGCTGAAGCAGCCACCATCGTAAAAGCTGAGGTCCAGATTGTAAAGGACAGAGCCCTGAAGATTGTGGAGGGCATTGAGAAGGAGAAAGCCTTTGCCGAGGTCAAGCTGAAAGCGGCTAAACCGGCTTTAGCGGAGGCAGAGGCCGCTCTGAATGTGAGTCTTACTGTACATGAAAATATAAATTTGAAAAAGACAGAAATAGATTTTGGGCAATGTTCAGTAGGCAACAAAACGGAAGATAAAGGACTGAAATAGGGAGGGTACTACCGCAACTTTTCCTTTTGCGAAATGTTTTCTATTACATGCCCTAATGATCTCAACCCTGTTATATATTCTCCTCAGACCATTAAAGCGGCTGACGTAGCCACGGTGAGGAAGCTGGCCAAACCTCCCCACCTCATCATGAGGATCATGGACTGCTGTGTGCTGCTCTTCCAGAAGAAGCTGGACACCATCACCATGGACCCAGAGAGGCCCTGCCACAAGCCCTCCTGGGGAGAGGCACTCAAGGTCAGAAAGCCTCCATTCTAGTCTCTACCAGACTCATAGATCTTTACATCTCTCTATGTATGACTCTGGTAATAATAGTAGAACAAAATAGAATAGAAGAGGCCTAGATATATTGTCCTTGGAGAAGGATATTCTTCTTACCAATATTTTACACTATACACACACACATCAAACCATCAGATAATCACCCAGATGTTACATTTACATTCCCAGTCCCATCTCTGTATATTGAATTGATTTGTTGTAGCTAATGTATTGGTTTGGTTTGTTGTAGCTAATGTATTGGTTTGGTTTGTTGTGCTAATGTCTTGGTTTTGTTTATTGTAGCTAATGTCTTGGTTTGGTTTGTTGTAGCTAATGTATTGGTTTGGTTTGTTTTAGCCAATGTCTTGGTTTGGTTTGTTGTAGCTAATGTCTTGGTTTAGTTTGTAGCTAATGTATTGGTTTAGTTTGTAGCTAATGTATTGGTTTAGTTTGTAGCTAATGTCTTGGTTTAGTTTGTTGTAGCTAATGTCTTGGTTTAGTTTGTTGTAGCTAATGTATTGGTTTGTTGTAGCTAATGTATTGGTTTGGTTTGTTGTAGCTAATGTCTTGGTTTGGGGGTTTGTTGTAGCTAATGTATTTGTTTGGGGGTTTGTTGTAGCTAATGTATTGGTTTGGGGGTTTGTTGTAGCTAATGTATTGGTTTGGGGGTTTGTTGTAGCTAATGTATTGGTTTGGGGGTTTGTTGTAGCTAATGTATTGGTTTGGGGGTTTGTTGTAGCTAATGTATTGGTTTGGGGGTTTGTTGTAGCTAATTTATTGGTTTGGGGGTTTGTTGTAGCTAATGTTATTGGTTTGGGGGTTTGTTTTAGCTAATGTCTTGGTTTGGGCCAAAGTCCCCCCCCCCCCCCCCCCATGTGCTTTAGCTAATGAGCTGTGTCCTTTTTGTTACCTCAATTGTTGACCTTCTGTTTTTTGTTGTTGTTGTCTTTTTAGCTAATGAGCGGCAGTGGTTTCATGGCATCGCTGCAGCAGTTCCCCAAGGACAGCATCAACGAGGAGATGGTGGAGCTACTGCAGCCCTACTTCCAGATGGAGGACTACACATTCGAGTGTGCCAAGAAGGTGTGTGGCAACGTGGCAGGCCTGCTCTCCTGGACCTCCGCCATGGCCACCTTTTTCGGCATCAACAAGGAAGTGCTGCCACTCAAGGTACGGGGAACAGACGCTGAATGATTCTACCCTCCATAAAGTATGGGAACACTATTTGTGTGTGTGTGTGTGTGTGATCCGATATATTGGAGTATTGGGGCCAACTCGTTGGGGCCAAATCCCCGAGCTGACAAGGTAAAAATCTGTTGTTCTGCCCCTGAGCAAGGCGGTTAACCCACTGTTCCCTGGGCGCCGATGGCGTGGATGTCGATTACGGCAGCCCCCCCGCACCTCTTTGATTCAGAGTAGTTGGGTTAAATGCGGAAGACACATTTCAGTTGAATGCATTCAGTTGTACAACTGACTAGGTAACCCCATTTCCCTTTAGATAAGCATTGTGAACAGTATTGTTTCTCGACGTGTGTGGACAGGCTAACTTGATTATCCAAGAGGGCAGACTAACGATAGCCAATTCCGAGCTAGCCAGTGCTCAGTCTCAGCTGGATGAGAAACAGGCTGAGTTGGACAAAGTACAGGCCAAGTTCGATGCTGCCATGAAAGAGAAACAGGTGAGGTCCAATCCTTTAAAAAATAATGTTCTATATTCTTAAATTAGGAATATTGCAAAAATAAATAGAAATGTATAGATAGAATAGCAGAATAGAATGTAGTTCAAACAGTTGATTTTGTGATGCTTTACAGGATTTGCTGGACGATGCAGAGATGTGCAGGAATAAAATGGTGGCAGCGTCAGCACTCATTGATGGGCTTAGTGGAGAGAAAGTGCGCTGGACAGAGCAGAGCAAACAGTTTAAATCACAGATCAACAGGCAGGTTACAGATAAGAGAAGGATAGCATAACGTTTCTTTACTTTCAGTATTCTGACTGAAGTCATTATTACTATGTACAAAGATTTAATGCAATGTAATACAATAAACTACAGACAATATCAATGCTCAGTTCTTTCCCTTAGAGGCTTTTCAATGTGACCATTGACCATATTTTGTCCTCTCTTTGGATAGACTCGTAGGGGACGTCCTCCAGCTCACTGGCTTCCTGTCGTACTGTGGACCCTTCAACCAGAACTTCCGCAACATGCTCCTAAAAGACATCTGGGAAGCAGAGCTCCGGAAGAGGAAAATCCCCTTCACGGATAACCTCAATATTATCTCTATGCTGGTGGACCCACCTACTGTAAGAAAAGATCATGAACACAGTAGTGAATTGAATAGAATTTTACTTTTGAGTTACAAACAAAACAGTCATCGACAAAATGTACATTTAAATCCCATAGGATAACAAATGAAAATATGAATGAAAACACTTATTTCCAAAGTGGTTCTTAGTATCCATTCCACTGAACCAGAAGTTGTACGAATTGTGTTTTGTTATGTCCCAGAGCACCACATTGAAACATCCTTCCCTTTTCTGTGTGTCAGATAAGCGAGTGGAACCTACAGGGACTGCCTGGAGACGACTTGTCAGTGCAGAACGGCATCATTGTGACCAAGGCCACGAGGTTCCCTCTCCTCATCGACCCTCAGACCCAGGGCAAGGCGTGGATTAAAAAGAAAGAAAAAGCCAATGATCTACAGGTAAGCCATTCACTTCTCACATTCACACTCTTATAAACACACACACCAGTGTGAAAACTAAATATATTGGTTCAGTGTATTCCCAAGAAGTCATGAATGGCCATGTTCAGTAGGTGGAAAGTGTTTTAAAACGGAATGATACGGGGAGGTACTACATTAATGTATCCAATAGGAACACAGCATTTTGTTTTCCCCTACTGAACACGACCATGATATCTCTTGCAGGTCACGTCCCTCAACCACAAGTACTTCCGTACCCACCTGGAGGACAGTCTGTCGATGGGACGACCGCTGCTCATCGAGGACGTCCGAGAGGATCTGGACCCCGCCCTGGACAACGTGCTAGAGAAGAACTTCATCAAGTCTGGCTCCACCTATAAGGTACATACAGTGGGGAGAACAAGTATTTGATACACTGCCGATTTTGCAGGTTTTCCTACTTACAAAGCATGTAGAGGTCTGTAATTTTTATTATAGGTACACTTCAACTGTGAGAGACAGAATCTAAAACAAAAATCCAGAAAATCACATTTTATGATTTTTAAGTCATTAATTTGCATTTTATTGCATGACATAAGTATTTGATACATCAGAAAAGCAGAACTTAGTATTTGGTACAGAAACCTTTGTTTGCAATTACAGAGATCATACGTTTCCTGTAGGTCTTGACCAGGTTTGCACACACTGCAGCAGGGATTTTGGCCCACTCCTCCATACAGACCTTCTCCAGATCCTTCAGGTTTCGGGGCTGTCGCTGGGCAATACAGACTTTCAGCTCCCTCCAAAGATTTTCTATTGGGTTCAGGTCTGGAGACTGGCTAGGCCACTCCAGGACCTTGAGATGCTTCTTACAGAGCCACTCCTTAGTTGCCCTGGCTGTGTGTTTCGGGTCGTTGTCATGCTGGAAGACCCAGCCACGACCCATCTTCAATGCTCTTACTGAGGGAAGGAGGTTGTTGGCCAAGATCTCGCGATACATGGCCCCATCCATCCTCCCCTCAATACGGTGCAGTCGTCCTGTCCCCTTTGCAGAAAAGCATCCCCAAAGAATGATGTTTCCACCTCCATGCTTCACGGTTGGGATGGTGTTCTTGGGGTTGTACTCATCCTTCTTCTTCCTCCAAACACGGCGTGTGGAGTTTAGACCAAAAAGCTCTATTTTTGTCTCATCAGACCATATGACCTTCTCCCATTCCTCCTCTGGATCATCCAGATGGTCATTGGCAAACTTCAGACGGGCCTGGACATGCGCTGGCTTGAGCAGGGGGACCTTGCGTGCGCTGCAGGATTTGAATCCATGACGGCGTAGTGTGTTACTAATGGTTTTCTTTGAGACTGTGGTCCCAGCTCTCTTCAGGTCATTGACCAGGTCCTGCCGTGTAGTTCTGGGCTGATCCCTCACCTTCCTCATGATCATTGATGCCCCACGAGGTGAGATCTTGCATGGAGCCCCAGACCGAGGGTGATTGACCGTCATCTTGAACTTCTTCCATTTTCTAATAATTGCGCCAACAGTTGTTGCCTTCTCACCAAGCTGCTTCCCTATTGTCCTGTAGCCCATCCCAGCCTTGTGCAGGTCTACAATTTTATCCCTGATGTCCTTACACAGCTCTCTGGTCTTGGCCATTGTGGAGAGGTTGGAGTCTGTTTGATTGAGTGTGTGGACAGGTGTCTTTTATACAGGTAACGAGTTCAAACAGGTGCAGTTAATACAGGTAATGAGTGGAGAACAGGAGGGCTTCTTAAAGAAAAACTAACAGGTCTGTGAGAGCTGGAATTCTTACTGGTGGGTAGGTGATCAAATACTTATGTCATGCAATAAAATGCAAATTAATTACTTAAAAATCATACAATGTGATTTTCTGGATTTTTGTTGAAGTGTACCTATGATAAAAATTACAGACCTCTACATGCTTTGTAAGTAGGAAAACCTGCAAAATCGGCAGTGTATCAAATACTTGTTCTCCCCACTGTACATAACACAGCTCTCAGATCAGTTTGACTTGAAAAGCAGTGTTGTGAAATAGCCTGGTTAAACCAGACTGAACACTGTGTTCACCATGAAACGTAGCGAAATCTGTTTGGGTGCCAGGCTAATTGGGAAATGAGGCTCCCATTCAAACCTGTGCTCATTGGTTGTAGGTGAAAGTGGGAGACAAGGAGACCGACGTGATGGATGGCTTCCAGCTCTACATCACCACCAAGCTGCCTAACCCGGCGTACACGCCCGAGGTCAGCGCCAAGACCTCCATTATAGACTTCACCGTCACCATGAAGGGTCTGGAGAACCAGCTGCTGGGCCGAGTCATCCTCACCGAGAAATACGTAAGCCTTCATAAATCCTTTATAAACCATTCATAACCCCTTTATAAAACCTATATAAACATTTTCTCTCAGGACTTCAGAGGCATGATTTGGGTGTTACATGGATGTTCTGATGGTGCTGTAACAGGAGCTGGAGGCAGAGAGAGTCAAGCTGATGGAGGATGTGACGGCCAATAAGAGGAAGATGAAGGAGTTAGAGGACAACCTGCTGTACAAGCTCAGCTCCACCAAGGGTATTGACTCCTAGGATAAACAAATAATATTAAGTGTTACATCTGATGTTTGGATAATGTCTCAAATACTCAGACTGCTCAATCTGCATGTGTGTGTGTGTGGTATGTGTCTGTCTGTCTATCTGTGTTTGCGTGTGTTTCCGTCTGTGTGGGTGCATGCGTGCGTCTTGTGTGTCAAGGTTCCCTGGTGGACGACGAATCCATGATTGGCATCCTGTCGGTGACCAAGCTGACAGCGGCCGAGGTGAGCGAGAAGCTGCACGTGGCGGCCGAGACGGAGGTGAAGATCAACACGGCTTCAGAGGAGTACCGGCCGGCCGCCTCGCGTGGCAGCATCCTCTACTTCCTCATCACCGAGATGAGCATGGTCAACGTCATGTACCAGACCTCCCTGGCACAGTTCCTCAAGATCTTCGACCTCTCCATGGCCAAGTCAGTACCAGGATGGGATTTTTCCTGATTAATCAGGAATTCCTGCTTTTCAGATATTTATCCTTCATTCAAATATAATGGACCTATCCCAAAATCCTGATTTTCCTGATCAAATCCCTCAGTACACGGAACACATAGCAAATTCACCAACTTGTTTACCCTTTAATACTTTTTTTTTATCAAGTTTGTGTACACCCACATTATATCAGTCCATACCAGAGGTCTCCAACCTTTTCTAGCAAGAGAGCTACTTTTAAAAAAGGAAACAAGCTACTCTTTTTCTTCTAGCTTACAATTAGGCACATTATTCTCTTCTCCTCTCCCCTGCAACTCTTCCCCAGGTCCTTAGTGTATAAGAGAAAGTAGGGCACTATGTTTTCTGCCAATATACCTGGTAAAATAAAGGTTAATAAACAACTTAAAGGGGGGGGGGGCTATAAAATCTGTGATTTATATTATATATTCCCAAATTATGTTTTCTCCGTTTTATTTTTCCTGGTTTTTGGTTTTGTTTTTCACTCTCAAAATTACAATTGTTCATGCAGATTTGACACAAACCGGTGCGCCTGGCACATACTACCATACCCCGTTCAAAGGCACTTAAATATTTTGTCTTGCTCGTTCACCCTCTGAATGGCACACATACACAATCCATGTCTCTATTGTCTCAATAATTAAAAATCCTTCTTTAACTTGTCTCCTCCCCTTCATCTACATTGATTTGAAGTGGATTTAACAAGTGACATCAATAAGGGATCATAACTTTCACCTGGACTCACCTGATCAGTCTATGTCATGTCTCCTGAGTGGCGCAGTGGTCTAAGGCACTGCATCGCAGTGCTAATCTGTGCCACTAGAGATCCTGGTTCGAATCCAGGCTCTGTCGCAGCCGGCCGCGACCGGGAGACTCATGGGCGGCGCACAATTGGCCCAGCGTCGTCCAGGGTAGGGGAGGGAATGGCCGGCAGGGATGTAGCTCAGTTGATAGAGCATGGCGTTTGCAACGCCAGGGTTGTGGGTTCGATTCCCACGGGGGGCCAGTATAAAAAAAAAATGTATTCACTAACTGTAAGTCGCTCTGGATAAGAGCGTCTGCTAAATGACTAAAATGTAAATGTAATGGAAAGAGCAGGTGTTCTTAATGTTTGTATACTCTGTGTACTTCTGCCAGGTAAGCCTACTTTGCAGTTAACATTTAATTGAGAAGGTTTTGGGGAAAATATTTCTGTCAACCCAGAAGACTGTTATCACATCAACTGGCAACACGCGTAGTGATAGACATATGCGCACACCACACAGACAGACAGACGGGCAATATTGCTCAAATTAATTGGCAGATATTGTGTTAGGTTTGGCTTCTTAAGCTAATAGTGGTTAACCAGGGGTGGTGTAATGCCAATGTTGCGTTGATTAGGTAGTAGCTGGGAGCTTGCGGTGTCTGTCTGATACTTGTGCGATTTCTTAATGACCGTTTGTGGTGGAACACGTGAAAATTGCTTGTACTTTCAGAATTGTTTGCCGAGCTACTCATAGGTGGGCTGCAAGCTACAAGTAACTTGCGATTGACCTGTTAGAGACCCTTGGTCCATACAAACAGAAATAGATGAGCCTGACAAATGGCATAAATGGTCTAAATCTAAATACACAACAGCGTTTATAAATGTATAAAAGAACAGACATGGGACCTGTACCATTTGATCAATATTCATTATAGGTATAGTTCTTTCTCATCAACCTCTAGATTTGAACCCTTTATTGGTGTTTGTTTTCCTCACGCAGGTCAGACAAGTCTCCTCTCACTCAGAAGCGTATTGCTAACATCATCGAGTACCTGTCCTTCGAGGTGTTCCGCTACACGGTCCGAGGGCTGTACGAAAACCACAAGTTCATCTTCACCCTGCTGTTGGCGCTCAAGATCGACCTGCAGAAGAACAACGTCAAGCAGAACGAGTTCCAGATCCTCATCAAAGGTATCAGATCCTCACTACTGATCCTAGTTAACATATCTCTGTATAGGTAGCAGTGTAGTAATGAAGTAATGGTTTTATTAATAGTACATATGTAATGTTCTCTGTGTGTTACAGGGGGTGCTGCTTTAGACTTGAAGGCGTGTCCTTCCAAGCCGTTCCGTTGGATCCTGGATCTGACCTGGCTCAACTTGGTGGAACTCAGCAAACTGTCACAGTTCATGGAGATCATGAACCAGGTGGGGTGTCATCATTAGCAATGGTCACAGCTTTGTCTGAGGAGTACACTACATTGCCTTTACTTCTCTATTCATCTTGTAGGTCTCTCGTAATGAGAAGGGCTGGAAGGTGTGGTTTGACATGGACAACCCTGAGGATGGTGTGATTCCTGATGGATACAACGACTCCTTGGATGTCTTCCATAAACTACTGCTCATCAGGTGAGCTCCTGCTTCTCTGGGTGATTGTCTCTTATCCAGATCTTATACATCAAGATTGTAAAAAAATTAATAAAAAGAGCCTTTAAAAGCCTCTTGAGGTTGTGGCTAGCGCATTCAGGTTCGAACCCAGGTTTGGTTGTACTCTCTCCTCACAGATCATGGTGCCCTGACCGCACCCTGTCCCAGGCCAGGAAGTACGTTGGAAACTCGATGGGCATGAGGTTCGCTGAGCCTGTCATCCTGAACCTGGAGAGTACCTGGGAGGAGAGCGACACCCGCACCCCCCTCATCTGCTTCCTCTCCATGGGCTCTGATCCCACCAACCAGATCGACGCTCTGGCCAAGAAACTCCGGCTAGGTTAGCCCCATGCCTATCACCCTTTAGTTTAAGAGCAGTCTGAGACCCTGAATTAATCACTAACATGAGTCACTGACAAGACTGTCATTGTGATATTGTGTTTATATGTTGCAGAGTTCAGAGCGATATCAATGGGCCAAGGTCAGGAGATCCATGCAAGGAGGCTCTTACAGATGTCAATGACACAGGTGAGAGCTTCTGAGGTTCAACTCTTTGTAAATAAATGTAGTGTACAGCATATACAAATATTTTCACCTACCTAACGTGTTTGCATGTGTACACACAAACAGGGTGGCTGGGTCCTGCTCCAGAACTGCCATCTGGGCCTGGAGTTCATGGATGAGCTGCTGGAGACGGTCACCACAGTGGAGACAATGCACGACAGCTTCAGAGTGTGGATCACCACCGAGCCCCACGACCGCTTCTCCATCACCTTGTTACAGGTAAAGGCCCTGTATACACCTACACAGACAACACCAGTAATCTCCCCAGCAATCTGACATTATCCTTCATTCATGTGAAACGGACCTATCCCCTAGCCAAAATCCAGATTTGTTATATTGTCCTAGTCACATCCCTTATGTCTAAGAATAAATATTTGCTGACCGGATTGTTTTCTTTCTTCCAGTCCTCTATCAAGTTCACCAATGATCCTCCCCAGGGGGTGCGGGCTGGCTTGAAGCGTACGTTTGCTGGAATCTCTCAGGATCAGCTGGAAATCTGCAACCTGCCCATGTGGAAACCCATGCTTTACAACGTAGCCTTCCTACACACTGTGGTGCAGGTACAGACTCAGCACACTGTCTTGATACATTCATGTTTCTAGATAAATACTGTATTTAATGTAATTTACTGATTTTTGCCTTGTTTTTGTTGTAGGAACGTCGTAAATTCGGGCCTCTGGGTTGGAACATCCCGTATGAGTTCAACTCAGCTGACTTCACAGCCAGTGTGCAGTTTGTCCAGAACCACTTGGATGAATGCAGCCCCAAGAAGGTACTATCAAAATAGTATAGGCCTATCCGAAGCTACAGTGACTATAAGTGTGCTCACAGACCTACACGTGACGATTTCCCTGCGTTTTTCTCCAGGGTGTCTCATGGGTCACGGTGCGTTACATGTTAGGGGAGGTGCAGTACGGAGGAAGGGTCACTGATGACTACGACAAGCGGCTGCTCAACTGTTTCTCTCGGGTAATGTCATTTTCCTTTTCAGTTAATGCAACTGTCTTGATCAATATGTTGTACATGTGGGTAATCATGTGGGAAGCACAGACTTGTTCTAAGCATTATGCGTTCCCAACAGGTGTGGTTCAATGACAAGATCTTTGAGCCGACATTCTGCTTCTACACAGGATACAAAGTGCCTGTGTGTAAGACAGTGGAGCAGTATATGGAGTATATCGCGACCCTGCCTGCACTGGACACACCTCAGGTCTTTGGTCTGCATCCCAACGCAGACATCACGTAAGACACCGTAGATCATCACAACGCTCCACTCTTATCATGTCTATGCTGTGTGTGAGTCTTAATACTCAATATGAATATTATATAACTATTCTTGTTCAGATATCAGACCAACACGTCTGCTGAGGTGCTGGACACCATCACCAACATCCAGCCCAAGGAAAGTGGAGGAGGAGCAGGGGAGACAAGAGAGTCCATCGTCTACAGACTGGCAGAGGACATGCTGGAGAAGCTGCCCCCCAACTACGTACCTCATGATGTCAGTGCTCACTCTGTTTATGGAGGATATGATGCCAAGTCATGTTCAGTAGGAACACAATGTAGCAAAATGTTTTGCAACGAATAATACAAATTGATGTTCTCTTTGGACAAATTCCGGTAATACCTCAGTTTCAAAATGTTTACCACCTACTGAACACAGCCCATATGGTTCTAATGATGGACTTAGCATTAAGATGCTTTTGGGAAACTGGGCCCTGGGCTGTACAGAGCGAATACACTATGCTCACACACCAAATTCTATTGTGATGTGTACTGTAGGTGAAAGCCAGGCTGGTGAAGATGGGTGCCTTGAACTCCATGAACATCTTCCTACGCCAAGAGGTGGACCGCATGCAGAGGATCATAGGAGTGGTGCGCACCAGTCTGGTCGACCTCAAACTCGCCATCGACGGTACCATCATCATGAGCGAAGTAATAGAGCTAGCTAGAATGACCACTATAATGTACTACAACTATATTACATGTTAACACTTTACATTGTGTTATACTTCAAATTATTATTTATAGGTTTATAGCTTATAAATCTGTAATAAACAGTAATAACAATGTCTGAAATGTCTGTGTTATTTTGGTGCTTGAATATTCAATGTCATATTCATGTTTTACCTCCTAGAACCTGCGTGATGCCCTGGACAACATGTTTGACGCGCGCATCCCCAACATGTGGAAGAAGATCTCGTGGGAGTCGTCCACTCTTGGCTTCTGGTTCACTGAGCTGCTGGAGAGGAACACACAGTTCTACAGCTGGGTGTTTGAAGGCAGACCCAAGACATTCTGGATGACTGGCTTCTTCAACCCTCAGGGTGAGTCTCGTTCAAAACATGAATTAGGCCAACTGATCAAACTTGCAGGGTAATTTCAATTTACTTGTAATATTCAAAATACAGTTCAGCATAAATTAGTGTAATCTATTTTACAAGGACATTTTTGTCATGTCTTCATCCTATTACATCATTGAAGATATTAGATAAATGTGTTAATGGATTATAATGGCATATCTCTTTATGTTTGCTCCATCTGTATGGCTGCAGGTTTCCTGACAGCCATGAGGCAGGAGGTAACCAGGGCTCACAAGGGCTGGGCTCTGGACACAGTCACCCTGCATAACGACGTGCTGAAGCAGAGCAAGGAGGAGATCACTGCCTCTCCTGCTGTAAGTAGCCTCATGCAAAATAGTGTAATTGACAACACATGTACTACATACAGCTTTCCCTTTTTACCTCTCAATGCCATCCATCATACTCTTATCTCTGTCTCTCAGGAGGGGGTCTACGTCTACGGTTTGTACCTGGACGGGGCCGGCTGGGACAGAAGGAACTGCCGTCTCATCGAAGCCACTCCCAAGGTGTTGTTCTGCCCCCTGCCCGTTATTCACATGTTCGCCATCAACTCCACCGCCCCCAAGGACCCGAAGTTCTACATCTGCCCAGTCTACAAGAAGCCTCGGCGCACAGACCTCACCTACATCACAGGGGTTGTGATACGCACGGTGCAGTCACCCGATCACTGGATCTTACGTGGTGTTGCCTTGCTCTGTGACATCAAATGATGGGACAACTACTCAGTCTTTCTTTGGTGTTTGTGTAACCCTGTGTGCTTTCACCAAAGTAACACAAATAAATGTTTTTAAAATTCCAACTAGTGAATGTAGAAATTTTAATGGAATTAACAAGCAGTTTTACATTACAACCAACACTAGTGTTTCGTTCATTGAAAGAGTCGAGGTGCAACCAAGCATCATAAGATAATTTTAACAGAAAAGGCGTAACTCACTCACATTTCTAAACAGTTCCTTTACTAGCTACAGATTGTAACACCAGATAATGTGATTTAACCCAAAAAATGTAGTATCCATTACACTGAGCATAAAGGTTTGGTGGAGCACAGAGTTTAAGACCATTTTAGCTTGGCAATACTGTCTTCGTCCTCTATTCTTGGAAAGGAGTCTCAAAATGTCCTTGTCCAGTTGCAGGGGTTCCCTTTGAATTTGGAGAAAATACACCGTTATTAAATTAAATATTTGTTTTGCTCCATGTTGCCATCTTGTCTATTTCAAGTCATCTCTCATTGATCGAAACAGGTGGGTCCACCCTAAAGTGCCGTATGTCATGATGACAGACCTGTCTCGATCAATGAGAGAACTTGAAATAGACAAGATTGCAGCGTACACGTTGTTGGATTACTTCATAGAGCAAAAAATATATATATTTTAATAACAGCATTTTAGAAATTCTAATGGATCCCCTACAACTGGACAAGGTAATTTTATGAGACTCCCGTTTCCACAAATCGAGGACGAAGGCAGCATCGCCAAGCTAAGGTTGGTGGAAAACTTCAGTGCAACACCAAACAGTACCAACCTGTAACTCACAGTATAATGGATACCAATTTTGGGGGGTTAAATCACATTATCTGGTGTTACAATCTGTAGCTATTCCTTTACATGGTTAGCTGAAGTATTCCCATTTCACAGTCCAACTGCTCTGCTGTGAGGGTGCCCATGAGAGGCTGACAGTCAGGGTTGAATACTGAGTATGCGCTCAGTTCTCCAGGTTGACGTTTAGCTGGGCTCCGCAGGCCCTGGTAGAGCCAGTAGAAGAGGGAGATTAGGAAGAAAGGCAACCCAAAGGCCAGCTCAGCAAACAGCCCAAGCAGAACCAGCCAAAGCAACACCTTCAGCAAAGTCCGGTTTGCAAAACCAAGTCGCCTTGAACCAGGCCTTCGACCCAAAATGCAGTCCAGCAGACAGTCATCCTAAAGAAAGTGGAGAGAATCGCGAGTTAGCTAGCTAGCTAACATTGAGGGGTGGAATTGAAATTAACTATGCCATGACGCTACCTCAGTGCCTGACGTTTTAGTCATTTTTTGTGTTTGAGTTATAGCCTACCCCACATTGTAAGGTCCCTGTAGCCTGAGGGACAGCGGGCATCTGATGTTTTGTCAACTCCTGTGCGTCTTTATCAGCTGTTGACTCCCAACTGGCTGACTTCAAAATGCTGCCACTGCCAGGTGATGTTATGGGCTGCATCTCACCAGCCCTTGTACCCGGCTCAGAATTTTGCAAGCTTTTGCGAATGCTAACAACTTCTGAGTCATACTCATGCAGAAATGCACTGTGCACGACGGGTATTAAGCACTGGTAGCGAACTAGCTAGCTAGATACATATATTTTTGAGGCGTAATTTTGTTCTAGCAGATTGCCCCTCGATCGTGTGAAATATCGTCTTCACAATAGCGGGAATGTTATATAAGGTGCTTTCAATGCAGTGATAGAATTCAAAGTTTCACTGTCACAAAGAGTGATATGACAAATCCGTAGAAGAGAGATCTTAAAATATGTTGGTCTACTTCGGGAAAGATAACTAACCCCGGGTTGTTTACTTCCTGTTCCGGTTTGGGCGTAAGTACTTCTTCTTCGATAAGGTTTAACGGCGGTTGGCATCCAATAAATGTTGCATTACCGCCACCTCCTAGACTGGAGTATAACTTATACTTTGCTTTAAAAATTAAAAATACAACAAATACCCTACCCTCTAATACTACACACCCCCCACCAAAAAAAGTTGAATAATAACTACCATACTCCACTATTTAAATATATTTATTCCTACTTCAGGCCAACAGCCTGAAGGGGTGGGACACCACCACTTAACACACCCTGTAACTCTTCTGATGTCATGTCTCGCACACCCAAATACCTCTCTGCAGCTGCCACCACAACCTCTATTTTCTGCGACTTACGTTCCATCCCTGCAGTACAGTTGATAACCATTGCTATAAATGCCAAAAATCAAATCTTACTGAAACATATATCACTTGTTGGTTTATCTCTCTGTACTGGTACAGATCTACTACTCACACCATTCCTCTCAGGATCCCTCCCCCTTGACCCATCTTCCTCTACTTTCTTCACTGCCTCAGCATATGACAATTTCTGCACTACTCTAACCCTGGAATCCTCAACCTGCCTCTCTCGCACCAGACATTTCTGATCCCCAGCCCCATGGGCACCCCTACAATTAACGCATACCACTACTTTCCCCAATGCAACACATTCCTTTGTCTCATGCCCTTCTGCACACCTAGGAACCTCCCTCCTACACACTGCTGCCACATGCCCATAAGCTTGACACCTGTAACAACGTAATGTATTCAGCACGAAAGCTCGTACCGGATAACTTATATATCCTAATGTCACTTTGTCGGGCAAAGACTCAACATCAAAACTCAAAAGAACAGACAATGACTCTTCTGTTTCTCCACTCACACCACCCTGTCTGTGTCGTACCAAACGACAAGCATCACAAACACCGGGAATCTTCCCCTTCAGTTGGTCAGCTTTCACATTTACTGCTACCCCAGTAATCGCGCCTTTCAATGGCGCCCTTTTCTTGAGAGCAAAACAATTCACATCTTGCCCCCATTCTTGCTACATCTGACCAGCAGAAACACAAACAATTATCACTAGACCACTTCTGGTTAGCCTAGCCAATTTCACAGCACCCAACTCTGTTTTCACCCATCCTGAAACCACAAATGGATCAGCCAAAAGGCAAAAACTTCACTCCTACTGTCACAGACTCATCTTTATCCTGACCCTCGGTGCAAACCTCGGGCTCCGAGAACTTCACCACACCTACCACCTCCGATACTTCGCCCTCATTCATTTCCATTTTAGTTTTCAATTTGAGATCCAAAACGGAAAACTAAAAAAACTAAAACTTTTAACCCCCTCAAACGGGTTCCCACTATTTACCACAGCCACAAAGTCAAAATTGGCATTGGCTTTTTGGTCTTAAAATGCAAATTAATTACTTAAAAATCATACAATGTGATTTTCTGGATTTTTGTTTTAGATTCCGTCTCTCACAGTTGAAGTGTACCTATGTGTGGTGCAGTGGTCTAAGGCACTGCATCGCAGTGCTAACTGTGCCACTAGAGATCCTGGTTCGAATCCAGGCTCTGTCGCAGCCGGCCGCGACCGGGAGACTCATGGGCAGCGCACAATTGGCCCAGCGTCGTCCAGGGTAGGGGAGGGAATGGCAGGCAGGGATGTAGAGCATGGCGTTTGCAATGCCAGGGTTGTGGGTTCGATTCCCACGGGGGGCCAGTATAAAAAAATATGTATTCACTAACTGTAAGTCGCTCTGGATAAGAGCGTCTGCTAAATGACTAAAATGTAAATGTATAATAAAAATTAGAGACCTCTACATGCTTTGTAAGTTGGAAAACCTGCAAAATTGGGCAGTGTATCAAATACTTGTTCTCCCCACTGTAGGTAAATTGGAAGCTTGTGTAGTAGAGCTTTGTAAACATAAAGGGAATAATGAGGTGATCTACAGACTTTAATGATGACCAGCCAACCTTTTGATCCAGGATGCAGAGGTGAGTTATTAAAAACGGTCACCTGTGATAAAGCGAAGGGCGTTATGGTAGACAGCAGCAAAAGGTTTAAGAGTAGCGGCTCCACTATGGTTTCACCATAGTCAAGAACTGGCAGGAAAGTTGCCTGTACAATCTGCTTCCTGCTATTTAGGTAATCTACAGTGCATTCGTAAAGTATTCAGACCCCTTGACTTTTTCCACATTTTGTTAAGTTAGCCTTATTCTAAAAGAGATTTTAAAAAAAACTCAATCTACACACAATACCCCACAATGACAAAGCGAAAACAGGTTTAAACATTTTTGCTAATGTATTAAAAATAAAACAGAAATACCTTATTTACATAAGTATTCAGACCCTTTGCTATGAGACTCAAAATTGAGTTCAGGTGCATCCTGTTTCCATTGATCATCCTTGAGATGTTTCTTGATTGGAGTCCAACTATGGTAAATTAAATTGATTGGACATGATTTGGAAGGCACACAACTGTCTATATAAGGTCCCACAGTTGACAGTACATGTCAGAGCAAAAACCAAGCCATGGAATTGTCCGTAGAGCTCCGAGACAGGATTGTGTCGAGGCACAGATCTGGGGAAGGGTACCAAAAAATGGCTACAGCATTGAAGGTCCCCAAGAACACAGTGGCCTCAATCATTCTTAAATGGAAGAAGTTTGGAACCACCAAGACTCTTCCTAGAGCTGGCCGCCTGGGCAAACTGAGCAATCGGGGGAGAAGGGCCTTGGTCAGGGAGGACTCCAACAATTCTATGGTCACTCTGACAGAGCTCCAGAGTTCCTCTGTGGAGATGGGAGAACCTTCCAGAAGGACAACCATCCCTGCAGCACTCCACCAATCAGGCCTTTATGGTAGAGTGGCCAGACGGAAGCCACTCCTCAGTAAAAGGCACATGACAGCCCGCTTGGAGTTTTCCAAAAGGCACCTAAAGGACTCTCAGACCATGAGAAACAAGATTCTCTGGTCTGATGAAACCAAGATTGAACTCTTTGGCCTGAATGCCAAGCGTCACTTCTAGAGGAAACCTGGCACCAACCCTACGGTGAAGCACGGTGGTGGCAGCATCATGCTGTGGGAATGTTTTTCAGCGGCAGGGACTGGGAGACTAGTCAGGATCGAGGGGAAAGATGAACGGAGCAAAGTACAGAGCTCCTTGATGAAAACTTGCTCTAGAGCGCTCAGGACCTCGGAAGGTGAACCTTCGCCCCAGTCTTACAGGACTACGACCCTAAGCAAACAGCCAAGACAACACAGGAGTGGCTTCGGGACAGGTCTCTGAATGTCTTCAAGTGGTCCAGCCAGAGCTCGGACGTGAACCCGATCGAACATCTTTGGAGAGACCTGAAAATAGCTGTGCAGCGACGCTCCCATCCATCCTGACAGAGCTTGAGAGGATCTGCAGAGAAGAATGGGAGAAACTCCCCAAATACAGGTGTGCCAAGCTTGTAGCGTCATACCCAAGAAGACTCATGGCTGTAATCGCTGCCAAAGGTTCTTCAACAAAGGACTATAGTAAATGGTCTGAATACTTATGTAAATGTGATATTTCAGGTTTTTTTTTTATACATTTGCAAACATTTCTAAAACCTGTTTTTGCATTGTCATTATGGGGTATTGTGTGTAGATTGATTAGGGGGAAAAAACAATATAATCAATTTTTAAATAAGGCTAATGTAACAATGTGGAAAAAGTCAAGGGGTCTGAATACTTTCCGAAATGCACTGTATTTTAATTAGCTCATCCATATGTTTATTTTTTATTTTTTACATTAGGTCTTTGTCAATCCAAATGCCCAGATATGTATAGGCGGGAACCCGATCAATGGGAGAAACATCCAATGAATAAATATGTAGTTCATCAGATTTTTTTGTTGTTGCTAGAATTAGAGAACAATATATTTAGCCTTGCCCACATTAAGTACACGTTTTAAACCAACCAGGGCTTTCTGTAAGGCAACAAAGTCACATTGCAGCTCTTGCCTGGTCAACAGTTGGCAATGGCATACATAAGTGTCGTCTGCATACAGATGCCTATTACAAGTTTTAAGACCAAAATTATTTATATAAATAGTAAAGAGAACAGGTCCCAGTACAGTAATACAATTTTACAATCAGATGGTGCTTTCCCAGCCTCATCAATATGCACTAGTGGTGAATGATCTTGCAGTATGGAATAGGCTCCATTTGACTTCAAAATCAATACCAGCAATGTGCTTCATTCAAAGAAATAAGTTTCCAGTTCCTTTTTAGTACAATGGAAAGCTTAAAGTACAGTAGCTATTCCATTTCAGATTAAAGTCAGTTTGAGTGTCTTGAGGGGTCTCATCTGTTGGCCAGTGGTCTGTAGCCCATCTCTCCCTCTAGCTGCTCAGCTGTAAGTGCACCCAGGAGAGGCTGACAGTCTGGGTTGAACACTGAGTAAGCACTCATTTCTCCTGGTTGGCGTGCAGTTGGGCTCCGCAGCCCCTCATACAGCCAGTAGAAGAGAGAGATTAGGAAGAAAGGCAACCCGAATTCCAGCTCGGCGAACAGCCCAAGTAGAACCAGCCAAAGCAACACCTTCAGCAAAGTCAGATTTGTGAAAGCCAGTCGCTTCGAACCAAGCCATTGACCCAGAGTGCTCTCCAGCAGCCAGTCATCCTAAAGGAAGGGGAATTAAGTTAGCTAACTTTGACAAAATTGAATCAACGTTTATTATTATCTGGTTTTCCGGACACAGATTAAGAATAGTCCTGGTTGACTAAAAAGCATGGTCACTGAATCTCCAAAGAAAGTGTTTATTAGTCCAGGACTAGGCTTAAACAGTGTCCGGGTAACCGGCCCCTAGTATTTTGAGTATTGATTTTTAGCCTACCCCCCAATGTTTAGTCCTTGTAGCCTGATGGACAGCAGAGATTGGATTATCTGACAACTCCTGTGTTTCTGGATCAGCTGTTGATGACTGGCAGCTGGCTGACTTCAAAGTGCTGCCACTGTCAGATGATGTTATGGGCTGTTTTTTTAAAGATTCGCTCTTCTTAGCGGCCACATCATTCCTTCTTCGGGACCTGAACTCTGCAAGCTTTTGCTCCATTAGTGAACAGCTTCTGAGTCATGCAGCAATGAAAGACGGCGTGGCAACGTGTGCACGACAGTTCGCTAGATAGCTAGACTTTGAGAGGTCCCAAAAAAGATTGTTCGAGTGAAATCCCGTCTTCTCAACCGCGAAAATATTGTCTAAATGGTGTTTTCATGGTAATAATCGAATTCACTGTCACCGGAAGTATGAAAAGATTGTACTGAAGAAATCTTTAAAAAACCTGTTTCACTTCAGTTTGTTTACCTTCCGGTTCATCTAGGCGTACGTAATGACGTAGATTGTGTCGTAACTCGTCACCCCCACCATCCAGCTGACAAGCCAAACTAGCATTTCTTGCTAAACTGTTTGTCTTCATTCAACTTATATATTGTAAGTAACCAAATATGCAATTTACTGACTATTTAGGTATTTAATTGCGCATTCCAGAGCATTATAGAATACAATTCAAAGTGTACAGTAGCTAGCTTGCTAGTTTAGCTACAAATCAAATTGTATGTCACATGCGCCGAATACAACAGGTGTAGACCTGACAGTGAAATGCTTACTTACAAGCCCTTAACCAACAATGCAGTTTTAAGAAAAATAATTGTTAAGTAAAAAAATAGATGAATAAAAAATAACATGATTAAAGAGCAGCAGTAAAATAACAGTAGTGAGTCTAAATACAGGGGGTACCTGTACAGAGTCAATGTGCGGGGGCACAGGTTAGTCTAGGTCATTGAGGTAATATGTACATGTAGGTAGAGTTAAAGTGACTATGCATAGATAATAAACAGAGAGTGGGAGCAGCGTAAAAGAGGGGAGGGGGAGGGGGGGAACAATGCAAATAGTCTGGGTAGCCATTTGATTAGCTCTTCAGGAGTCTTATGGCTTGTGGGTAGAAGCTGTTAAGAAGCCTTTTGGACCTAGACTTGGCGCTCCAGTACCGCTTGACGTGCAGTAGCAGAGAGAACAGTATGACCAGGGTGGCTGGAGTCTTTGACAATTTTTTGGGCCTTCCTCTGACACCGCCTGGTATAGAGGTCCTGGATTTTTATTTTTATTTCATCTTTATTTAACCAGGTATGCCAGTTGAGAACAAGTTCTCATTTACAACTGCGACCTGGCCAAGATAAAGCAAAGCAGTGTGATTAAAAACAACAACAACACAGAGTTACATATGGGATAAACAAAACGTACAGTCAATAACTAAAGTGGTTATCCCACTGGCTATAGGGTGAATGCACCAATTTGTAAGTCGCTCTGGATAAGAGCATCTGCTAAATGACGTTAATGTAATGTAAATAACACAATAGAAAATCTATATACAGTGTGTGCAAATGTAGTAAGTTATGGAGGTAAGGCAATAAATAGGCCATAGTGCAAAATAATAACAATTTGGTATTAACACTGGAGTAATAGATGTGCAGAAGATGATGTGCAAATAGAGATACTGGGGTGCAAATTAGCAAAATAACTAACAATATGGGGATGAGGTAGTTGGGTGGGCTAATTTCAGATGGGCTGTGTACAGGTGCAGTGATCGGTAAGCTGCTCTGACAACTGATGCTTAAAGTTAGTGAGGGAGATAAGAGTCTCCAGCTTCAGAGATTTTTGCAGTTCGTTCCAGTCATTGGCAGCAGAGAACTGGAAGGAATGGCGGCCAAAGGAGGTGTTGGCTTTGGGGATGACCAGTGAGATATACCTGCTGGAGCGCATACTACAGGTGGGTGTTGCTATGGACACCAATGAGCTAAGATAAGACGGGGATTTGCCTAGCAGTGATTTATAGATGACCTGGAGCCAGTGGGTTTGGCGACAAATATGTAGTGAGGGCCAGCCAACGAGAGCGTACAGGTCACAATGGTGGGTAGTATATGGGGCTTTGGTGACTAAACGGATGGCACTGTGATATACTACATCCAATTTGCTGAGTAGAGTGTTGGAGGCTATTTTGTAAATGACATCGCCAAAGTCAAGGATCGGTAGGATAGTCAGTTTTACGAGGGCATGTTTGGCAGCATGAGTGAAGGAGGCTTTGTTGCGAAATAGGAAGCCGATTCTAGATCTAACGTTTGATTGGAGATGCTTAATGTGAGTCTGGAAGGAGAGTTTACGGTCTAACCAGACATTTTACATTTTAGTCATTTAGCAGACGCTCTTATCCAGAGCGACTTACAGTTTCGTAGTAGTTGTCCACATATTCTAAGTCAGACCCGCCGAAAGTAGTGATTCTAGTCGGGCGGGCGGGCGGGTGCAAGCAGCGTTCGGTTGAAAAGCATGCATTTAGTTTTACTAGTGTTTAAGAGCAGTTGGAGGCTACGGAAGGAGTGTTGTATGGCATTGAAGCTCGTTTGGAGGTTTGTTAACACAGTGTCCAATGAAGGGCCAGATGTAAACAAAATGGTGTCGTCTGCGTAGAGGTGGATCTGAGAGTCACCAGCAGCAAGAGCGACATCATTGATATACACAGAGAATAGAGTCGGCCCGAGAATTGAACCCTGTGGAACCCCCATAGAGACTGCCAGAGGTCCAGACAACTTGCCCTCTGATTTGACACATTGAATTCTATCTGAGAAGTAGTTGGTGAACCAGGCGAGGCAGTCATTTGAGAAACCAAGGCTATTTAGTCTGCCAAGAACAATGCGGTGATTGACAGAGTCGAAAGGGGGGGGGGGGGGGCATGTACAAGTTGCAGTGGAGGCTGCAGAGCTGGTGGCCGGGGTAGGGGTAGCCAGGTGGAAAGCATGGCCAGCCGTAGCAAAGTGCTTGTTGAAAATCTCGATTATCGTAGATTTATCGGTGGTGACAGTGTTTCCTAGCCTCAGTGCAGTGGGCAGCTGGGAGGAGGTGCTCTTATTCTCTATGGACTTTACAGTGTCCCAAAACTTTTAGGAGTTAGTGCTACAGGATGCACATTGCTGTTTGAAAAAGCTAGCCTTTGCTTTCCTAACTGATTGTGTATATTGGTTCCTGACTTCCCCGAAAAGTTGCATATCGCGGGGGCTGTTCGATGCTAATGCAGTACGCCACGGGATGTTTTTGTGCTGGTCAAGGGCAGTCAAGTCTGAGGAGAACCAGGGGCTATATCTGTTCTTAGTTCTGAATTTTATGAATGGGGCGTGCTTATTTAAGATGGAGAGGAAAGCACTTTTAAAGAACAACCAGGCATCCTCTACTGACGGAATGAGGTCAATATCCATCCAGGATACCCGGGCCAGGTCAATTAGAAAGGCCTGCTCGCTAAAGTGTTTTAGGGAGCGTTTGACAGTGATGAGGGGTGGTCGTTTGACCGCGGACCCATTACGGACGCAGGCAATGAGGCAGTGATCGCTGAGATCCTGGTTGAAGACAGCGGAGGTGTATTTAGAGAGTAAATTGGTCAGGATGATATCTATGAGGGTGCCCATGTTTACGAATTTAGGGTTGTACCTGGTAGGTTCCTTGATAATTTGTGTGAGATTGAGGGCATCTAGTTTAGATTGTAGGATGGCCGGGGTGTTAAGCATATCCCAGTTTAGGTCACCAAGCAGTACGAACTCTGAGGATAGATGGGGGGCAATCAATTCACATATGGTTCCAGGGCACAGCTGGGGGCTGAGGGGCGTCTGTAGCAAGCAGCAACAGTGAGAGACTTATTTCTGGAAAGGTGGATTTTTAGAAGTAGAAGCTCAAACTGTTTGGGCACAGACCTGGATAGCCTGCAGAGCTCTATCGTACTATCTCTACAGTAGATTGCAACCCCACCCCCTTTGGCAGTTCTAACTAGACGGAAAATGTTGTAGTTGGGGATGGACATTTTTAAGTTTTTGGTGGCCTTCCTAAGCCAGGATTCAGACACTGCTAGAACATCAGGGTTGGCGGAGTATGCTAATGCAGTGAATAACTCAAACTTAGGGAGGAGGCTTCTGATGTTAACATGCAAGAAACCAAGGCTTTTACGGTTACAGAAGTCAACAAATGATAGCGCCTGGGGAGTAGGAGTGATACTGGGGGCTACAGGGCCTGGGTTAACCTCTACATCACCAAAGGAACAGAGGAGGAATAGAATAAGGATACGGCTAAAGGCTTTAAGAACTAGTGTTCTAGTACGTTGGGTACAGAGAATAAAAGGGGCAGATTTCCGGGTGTTGTAGAATAGATTCAGGGCATTATGTACTGACAAGGATATGAGTACAATGGAGGTAAACCTAAGCGTTGGGTAACGATGAAAGAGAGCGTATCACTGGAGGCACCGATTGAGTCGGTCTCCGCGTGTATGGGGGGTGGGACAAAGGAGCTATCTGAGGCAGGTTGAGCGGGACTGGGGGCTCTACAGTGAAATAGTACAATAAGAACTAACCGAAACAGCAATAGGCAAGGCATTTTGACATGGGAGAGAGGCATAAAGCAATCACAGGTGTTATTCGAGAGAGCTAAGACAACAGCTGATAATGGCGACGAAAGTTTGGGCTGAGGCTAAACAGATAAACAGGATGGGGTATCGTATAAAGGAACAGTCCAGCAGGCATCAGCTGTATAGCTGAGTGATCATAAGGTCCAGTGAACAGCAATATGTGAGTCCGGGAGCAGTTCGGTGGCTGCTACGGCACAGGTGAGCAGGAGGCACGGCTGTTGATTGCGTGTGCTAGCAGGCCGGGGCTAGCAGATGGATCTTTGTGGTCGTCGCAACGGGAAGCCTGTTGAAACCACATCAGACGATTACGTCGGCAGACCAGTCGTGATGGATCGGCGGGGCTCCGTGTCAACACTAGGAGGTCCCGTCCGGTTGACAGAGAGGTAGATAGCCGAGAGATGGGCCTGGCTTGAGGCTAGCTCAAGGCTAACTGGTGCTTGCTTCAGGACAGTGGTGATTAGCCAACAACAACAACAGCCATTCGGTTGCAGCTAGCTAGTTGTGATGATCCGGTGTTAAGGTCTAGTGATTCAGTGATTACGGCAGAAAGACCGATATGCTCTGGGTCGATAGCGCGCTGTGCAGACTGGCCGATAATTGACCAGGCTAGAGCTGGCTG